CTGCAGCGTGGCTCTACCCCGTATGTAAGATGAGAAAAAATTGAAATAAAATCTAATTTTTTTTAATTGAACCTAAGATTATTACGTATATTATTAGTAGCCCATAATATTATATTTTCATTTTAATGTCACTTAAGCCTAGTCGTAAAACGTGAAATATGTTTCGTCGGTATTCCAATAACTGAGTGAAAGTGGTTCTCGTTTAAATTTGTTATTTGAATCGCAGCGTTAACAACTTTCTAAAGATTTAACTTACTCTACCGGATCCAAAATTACCTACTCCTTCACCTACCCATTCACCTGCATCCTTTAAAAATATTGATAAATATGTAACTACGCGCCGTGCAGCGACCGTGTAGTGGAAGGCGTCAATTTGTACAATCTTGAAAATTTCGATATACACTAAGCAGACCTTTTCACACACGCAAGTCTTGAACGAAAGTTGAATGATGCATACGCGAACACATCCACGTATGATGTACAGGACTACAATGAGAACTTGTAACTTAAATTATCAGTTTTCTAACTTAAGATATTGTAGGCGACGCAGCAATATGTTAATTTGTTAGTAATATTAAATGTTTTAATAAAATTTTGTTAATATTTTATTTTGTTTGTTAAAAAGTCCGTCTAAATATTATTACACTAGCGACACGTCTCGGCTGTCCCTGGATAGGATCTATTGATGTGGCGTTATTTGGATTTAAGATAATAATTATTTTATCCACTTTTCCTTATTTAAAAAAAATAATTTTCAAGACTTTCGGTAAAAATATAGTCTAGATCTCTCCTGGCATTGCTTTCTATCTGTTCGTATAGTTTGATCACAATCGAAGATTAGCCTGGATATACAGACAAACCTATCGGTTTGTCCCTGAGGACTAATATGGAATTCCTTGTTTCCAATAAAAAGTGTCTACGGATCTCTACACTCACCATAGCAACACAGCACTATTAAGCTGCCATTTTACGCTGGTATTCTTTGAGAGCTTAGTCCGGCCGAGCTGACCCACGTGTAGACATTCTAGAGTCAGTCAGTCAGTCAGTTAAATATTTTTTGTAAAAGTTTTTCGTCTTTCCTCTATTGTCTTATATCTATATAAATTTTTGTATAAATTAACGCTATTATTTACTGCAAATTCACCCAGTCAGTTACATAGTATGTACTCACACTATACGAAAGTAAGCGTGAACGTATATTAGAGCGGAGTCTCCCAACCTTTTTGACCAGGGACCACTTTGATTTTTTTATTAGCAGGGACCACAAGGTAAAAGAGAAAACTGTGTTAATCTAACAATAAATTATAATCAGAACTTTTAATATTATCTTTATTACATATAATAAATCTGTAGAAAAGTCGTGTCTGTAATTCTATTTCCTGAAAAAAAAAAAAACAAGTCCATGGGACTAAATAAAGGATACTGAAGCCAAATTACTGGTTTTAAGACTTTTTGTCTGTCTAATACACAGATTAAATATTTACGCAATAAACTACTGGACTTCCAAAATTTTGTATGTAGGCAGTTTAATCCGGCAATTATAATACTTTATTAAATGATTTGAAAGTTCTAAGATTTATTTTAACTTTTTCATTTTTTTCTTTTATATAAGCGTAATAACTTAAATAAATACAATAGTATCTATGAATTCAAATGGTTTTTAGTTTAATTACTAAAAATAAAAATGAACTGATTAAAATTGGTTGGCATGCGATTACTTGCAAAACTCTCATTACACTTATACCTTATTCAAAGATACTTTTATATACGTCGTGACCAGATCGTAGAATTGATTTTATTATGAATATTCGATCATTACGTGAAATTGTAGCATTTCGTGAAATTTAACAGTCTGTTGACCATATCATGATAAGGCTTGACCAAATCGATGAATAAACATTGTTTGAAGAAACTAACAACTCAACCCAACATTGTTTCATAATATTCTAATTATATCGTATAATACTTTCACTATTCGCCCTAGAGGCGCTGATAGCGCATTTTTTAACATAAACAGATTTTTTAACAGAATCCACATAACTTTATGCCTCATCATCATTCATCATGATCATTACTGAACATAGGCCTCCCCCAAGGTATGCCACAAAGCACGGTTCTGAGCCACCTGCGTCCATCGACTTCCTGCATGTCTTACCATGTCGTCAATCCATCTAGTGGGGGGTCGCCCCACACTACGCCTACCGGTACGAGGCTGCCACTCGAGAACTTTTCTTCCCCATCCGTTATCGGTTCTTCGAGCTATATGGCCGGCCCATTGCCACTTCAGCTTACTAATCCGTTGGGCTATGTCGGTCACTCTAGTTTTACTGCGGATATCCTCATTTCTGAGTCTATCACGCAGAGAAACTCCGAGCATAGCCCTCTCCATAGCTCGCTGAGCGACCTTAAGCGTCCTCATACGGCTATAAGTGAAGGACCACGTCGCAGATCCATAGGTCATCACTGGCAACACGCACTGGTTGTACAATTTAGTTTTCAGAGTTTGAGGTATACCTGACGAGAAGATGTGTCGTAATTTCCCAAACGCTGCCCAGCCGAGTTGGACTTACCTAGTCGGACTATTTGTCCCAAGTGAACGTACTCGTCAACAACTTCGAGCATAGTGCTCCCAACAACTACCTGCATAGGTGTGACATGGACACTAAACATGATTTTTGTTTTGTCCATGTTCATCTTAAGACCTATCCGTTGGGAGACACCATTGAGGTCCTCCAGCGATTCTGCCATAAGGACTATATCGTCGGCAAATCGAAGGTGAGTGATGTGAAGGAGAGTGATGTGTATGCCTCAACGCGGACATTTAAATAATATACATATATAAATGGTCGCGGCTTTGAGGTAGCGTAGCATTCGGCTTGGCGCAGGTGATTTCTGGATATCGGTAACAGAGCCACCTACCTGGTAGAATTTTAAATCTAAACTATCCAGGGACCCACTTAAATAAACACAAAAAATATCATCAAAATCGGTGAGTTTTAGCGAGACTATCGAACAACAATGCATTTTTAAATTTAAACATTTCTGTAATATGGATGTGTTATATGTATAAACCTTCCTTTTGAATCATTCTGTCTATTGATGAAAACCACATCAAAATTCGTCGCGTAGTTTAAAAGATTTAAGCGTACAGACAACGGAAAGCGACTTTGTTTTATACTATGGAGAGATGGTCAGTAATAATATGCTATCATGAAATGATTGCGATATATGAAGTGGTCCAGCACTTCATGATAATATGATCAATTCTACAATCTGGCTACATTTACATAGCTTGACAGTTTTGGCTTTCATAATTTTAATCTTAAATTAGCGTCATCTACTAACTGCTAAGTAAACTAAAAAAATAAACCAATAGTAACTAACTGATAAGATTAAATAATAATGCTACTGAATACTTATTCTTGCAGGATCAAAAACTTAAAATATCCAGCCATTATCGGGATGGTTTACCGTAATTGCCACGTTTACCAAACTAACTAAACTGTTATACTGCATACTGTGTTTACAAAACTATGAGACTTGAGAGAAACTTTTTAGTAACTATAATTATTGGGTGTATATCGGCATAGCAATAATTTCACTAACTTCCTTTGGTTTTAAAAGAAAACCATGATATTCGACATTATTTCGTCAAAATTAAATTACCTTAATTTATGAATAAATGTAAAAAGTAAAAAGTAAATAAAGTAACTTTGAATCAAAGATAATTTACCCGTGTTAAAGATACTTCGGAAGTCGTGACCGATATAAAAAGTGACAGGGGTTGCTAGACGCATGATATTAATGCAATTCTAAAAAAATCTACGTTTAATAGTCTAAGAATTCAAAAAGGTCATTTGACTAATAAACGTGACAACGAGGCGACTTTACAAGTGATCTAACTTTGCAGATTTTGTTACGGAGCAGTATCAATGAGGTTCCTCAAGAGAACCCCACGCGAGCGAAGCCGTAGGTAAAAAGCTAGTTATGTAATAAACTGAGAAGAAGCATTCATTAACAGTATAATATATAATAACAGTTTGAAATCAGGTTCCGGGCCCCAGGAACGCTGACAACTAAGTCCTTAGTACTCGTAAGTACATTGATATCTTTAGAATTATGTAGGACTAAAAATCTAATTTGAAATCAATTTATAGTTAGAAGTATTATAGTATTATAGTGTAAGAACATTATTTGAAATACTTTTTAGGTTATAAATAGCCGATTACAATAAGTATAGGTTAGTCAAACAATTTCCCCTAGCAATGCTCTACGTAGAGTTCACAATGGGTACAGAGCTTGCCTTGACCTCGCCACTGACCTGGATAGCTTACAAGGTCGAGCTACTGCGTGTACACAAGCGTTTTATTTAATAAACATTGCTTTGTTACACCAACAGTAGATTGATCTCGCAATAAATGTAAATCTTCACCCCTGTTGTCTTCTAGAGGGCAGGCAGTGGTGAATAAAAGCTATGACCAATATTTTGTATACAACTGAACGATTGGTGGTCTATGGCCTCTTGTCTGTTGTTAGACTATCTGATCTGAAATTATCAATCACAATACAATACAACACCCTTTATTGTACACCAAGAAAAGGTAAAAGTACAACAATTAAATTAAATTAGTATTGTGGTAAAAAACAAAGGGCGGTCTTCGTGCTACATAAAAATCTCTTCCAGACAACCCAGAAGAAGAAATAAAATAAAAATAAGAAAAAGAACCGGATGGGGTGCACTAAAATAAAAAAATATACATTCTTTAGGTAAAAAAAGTATCAATAAGAGGAGGGAGGGAGAAGGGTTAGAGAGACAAATAGTGTACCTTAACCTCTTTCTGGAATACATTAACTACTTTTAATTAACAATAGTAAAGAGTTCTAAAGTCTTACTCCAAAAACAGAAAATGATTTATCATAAAAAATCGAGGAGAGCACAGGACATCGGAAGGAAAGATTTTCATACTTACTTCACTCACGCTTTTTTTTTCTTCTAGTAGTCAGGCAATAGTAAAATAGATGTTTACTAAATGTTGTTTTGTTTCATATAATGATTTCTTTTTTGTATTATAGCGTAAAATGTTAGCTTCAGCGATGCGCAGTGCTTCTGCAGCACGAGCCATTTCAAGAGCACTTGCGGCTGCTGCTCTTCTTGCGGCTTCCGTAAATATAGCATACTTCCATGCAGCGGCTTGCGGCTTCTGCAAGTTGGCAGGACGTCCAGCGTTTAAAGCTTCAGCGTTCTTAATAGATTTGGCTTGTCTAGCACGGGCTTCGGCTTTAGTAACTCGTGCACTTTGGGTAGCAGAGGTGTCAGCGTTCGCAATTTGGGTGGCGATATTAAACGCGAAAAATGTCATTGTTTTGAGATAAATTTACTCTTAGGTTACACAACCGTATCCGATGTAATTTTCTACAAACGCGTTGAAATGGAACGCTTTGACATAGAACGGAGAAAAAAAAATAAGATTCTAAAATCTTTCTCTTTCGTTCTGACAAACTAGCGACCTGCCCTGGGTTCGCCTGGGTAGATCTATCTATTATTATCGCGTTATTTAGATTTTAAAACAATTTATTTAACAACTAGCTTGCCAGGCAGACGTTCTGCCTTTTCGACAACCCTTTGTCATGTTCTATTAAAAATTATTAAATTCGCGAAAAAAATTTTTGGGGGTCACTCATGGGCAGAAAAACTATCGTATCTCTCAAGTTGGACCAAACTGCACACGGTGTGCAAATTTGATTAAAATCGTTTAAGTAGTTTAGGAGTCCATCGCGGACAAACAACGTGACACATTATTTATATATATTAAGATTAAGATTGTTCGGTTTTTTTTAAATGCCCTAAGTCCACTCCTGGCATTACCTTCTATGAAGTTTTGTTACAATCGGTTCTGCAATGCCGACAATTAGTCCGGGACAGACAGACAGAAATCTTAAAAATGGTTATTAAAGTATTCATGACATGTAAATAAACCCCTCAGCTTATTATAAGGCAGTAATTTCAATATTTCAGACAGATAACTTAATTGCCCGCGTAGTGGCGGTATAAGAATATCCACTATCCCTTATAATGCCGTGGGTGTCGTGAGAGATGACCAAATAAGGAAACTAAACTAGGAGATGAGTAGCAGCTTCTTCTTCGTAACACACGTGGTGGATCCACGCTGCAGCTATATTATGGTTGTAGCACGAATGGGTCGGTTCGACCTGGGAAGGACCACGCCCACACAGAGTAGCAGCTTGATACTGCTGTTTTTCGTATGGTGAGTGTAGAGAACCGGAGACCCGTTTTACTGGAATCTAGTCATTCCATCTTAGTCCTCAAAGGTGAAAACGCATCTGCGTTTTGATTCTTATTCAAGGATAAATGTAGATGTCTTTGGGCTACAGCATCCACTTACCATCAGGTGGACTGTGTGCTCGTTGGTCACCCTTATTCTAAAAAAAGCAGCTGAATAAAAAAACTGCGATTGTTAATCCACTTGCATAATCGAGGTTAAATGTCTATGGACCACAGCATCCACTTACCATCAGGTGGACTGTGTGCTCGTTGGTCACCCTTATTCTAAAAAAAGCAGCTGAATAAAAAAACTGCGATTGTTAACCCGGTTTGCAAAGCGTGGCAAGTGTGGCAAATATCTCTATGAGGCAATCTATGTAGGGTTCTATGTTTAGCTGTGAATTTTGTTAAATTGTAATTAATGTTTATGGTTATGGTATTTAGGGTAATTTGTTCAATTTCTTTATACCGCTTTTTTTTTGTAATTAAAAAACTAAACTAAAGCCGTGAGAATCAAAAAGAGAACTATAAAATTTATTGGCTTATTTGCAAAGAAACCTACCATAAAAAGAACGACAAAACAGCCCCACTCAAAAAACGCAGCTGTGCCAACACCGCCATCTTTGTTTTTTCGTTTCACTACACACGGCTTCTTTTTGCAGTTTCCGCCTCCATGCTCAAACTTAAAGGTGAACACGAATTAAAGTATGAACCTACTTAGAATTAAATGAAATTTTTGCCAATTCCGGTTATAAGAGTTACATTCAATTTGTGATTATATTTTTGCACGCTGTGAAGTGATGGCGTGAGAATATCCATTACCCCATATCATTCCATGGGTAAGAAGTGACAGAAGGAAATGAGGTAGTGGATGGGCATCGACATCTTCCTGATAACCCGCTAACCAATCAGGTCAGCTATGAGAATCCCCTAAGCAACCTATACATAGGCCTATGTTTAACCTATGTTGTGATAGAAAAAAAGGAATAAACATCATTTCATTTTCGCACGCATATAATAAATCTGTAGGAAATTTGTGTGTTCGTGATTCATGCAAAAACTACTTGACGGATTTCCATGAAATTTAATTTAGTGTGTAGGCAGTAAATAATTGTGTACCTATACGAGGGCGGCACTAAAAATTTCGGGAATCAAGGAAGTGACACAACATTACAATTTAAAAATGTATTTATTGCTTTTCGAAGTATTCTCCGCGAAATTTGACACATTTTTCCATACGATGGAACCAATCATTGAAGCAACCATTCCATTCGGAAGTTGGGGTCTCCAAAATGGCCGTTTTGTAGGCGTCCACAGCTTCTTCAGGTGATGAAAATCTCTGTCCACGCAAATTTATTCTTTATTTTAGGGAAAGTATAGAAATCATTAGGGCTTAGGTCGGGGCTGTACGGCGGATGGTCTAATAATTCTATGTTTTCTTGCTCTAAAAACTCTTTTGTTCTGTGTGCGGTGTGAGAACTCGCATTGTGATGGAGGATGATGCGGCGGTTGCAGTTCTCTTTACGGAGTTCAGAAACGACCTGTGGCAAACAAATGCTAGCATACCATTCTGCATTAACCGTTCTTTGTCCCTCAAGAGGAATAGTCGTAACATGGCCGGTTTTGGAGACAAACGTGGACACCATTTTTTTGCAACACTCCGTGAACGAACAATTTTTGTTGGCTTTAACTCATTTTCGAACAACCAAACTCGTGAGTGGTTTTTTGTTTCGGGTTCGTACGCGTATATACAGGATTCGTCACCTGATACGATGTTGTATACAGCATTTGAGGATCCTGCGTGGAATCTTTCGAGAGTTCTGATGCACCAAGTAACGCGAGCCGCTTTTTGCTCTTCACAGAGCGAATGCGGTATCCATCGGGAAAACAACTTTTTTACACATAATTGTTCATGCAAGATTATTTGTATTTGACTCATGCCAATGTGTAAAGTTGCCTGAATTTCGCGGTATGTCACATGTCGATCTTTCTCAATCAGCTTACGCACAGCATCAACGTTTTCTTGGGTGACTGCAGTTTTAGGACGACCTTGACGGGGATCATCACTGAGCTTGTCGCCTAGGTAACATATAGGCAACTTTTTATCTGCTTACGAGAGAGTAAAAAGGGAGAGTTATGTTTTCATTTTTAGAAGATTATTGTCAAAATGGTTGTTGATGGCTCTATTACGCATAAAGATGATTTAGCTATACTTACGCGTAATGAGTCGATAGCAAAGTGTGTATGAAAATGACGCTCACTTTGCGCCTCCAACCAGAATGGGCGGAACAACTCCCGTCGGGCCAGCTAGTAAATTTTTATATCTTGAATAATTTAAAAACTAAAAAGATTAACTGTTAAAAATGATAATATAAAATAGTTTGGATTACGTTATAAAGTTTAGAAACAATAAAACCGTTGTTTTTTAATAACTCAGATGAATTATTTTGAGGAAATATAACTCCGTTGTGATTGCCCAATAATTGCGACGGAATTGAATGTGGTTTGATTTGATCGTGTTTCGTTGTGTAGTATTGCGGAAATTATTTTACAAATCGGTCCATTTTTGTGCTGAACAATAGGTGAATTTACTTTTGTCATTTGGTCGATTTCAATTACATCAGTCCAGTACTTCGAAAGTACATTTTTTTTATTAAGATTTTTATTGTTGTTATTTCGAAATTGTACTCACATTAAAAATTGAACATTAATTCCTAACTGCAGGATTCATTAAAAATCCAATATTTATACTACCTAAATATCAAAATATCCAATAGTTGACTTTTATAGAAGCAAAGGTGACGACAAACATACGCAATCGGTGTACTATTAGATATGTCTAAAGCTTACGATAAGGTTCAATTCAAAATTCTTCTTAACAAACCACATATAAAGTAAAGTAACAGCCTATATACGTCCCACTGCTGGGCACAGGCCTCCCCTCATTTCTGAGAGGGTTTTAGGGCAAGGAAGTGTCCGCCGCGCTGCCCCAATGCGTGTTAGCGAACTTCACATGTCTTCGAAATATTTTTTTTCCTTATTCCTCAGACATGCAGGTTTCCTCACGATGTTTTCCTTCACCGCCGAGCACGTGGTAAATCAGCACTTAAAATTGCAATTAACAATTTTATTGGTGCCGGCAGGGATCGAACCCGGGTTACTCTTGTTCGGTTATATTTACAGCAAGCGTTAACCATCTGAGCTACCACAGCTCCTACATATAAACATAAACATACATAAACACTCACGCCTGTCACCCAGAGGGGTAGGCAGAGACTACGGACTTCCATTTGGCACGATCCTGACATACCTCTTTCGCCTCCTTTACATCCATATATCTACGCATACATGCTCGTCGGTCAAGGGTACTTCTAACGTGCTACCACAGCTCCTACATATATGCTATAGAAATCCGTGTTAAAGCATACGAATGGTTCAAATCATATTTACAGACTCGAGAGCAATTTGTAGAAATAGATCACTTCAATCACGAAACGAAAGAAAAAAAATCAGTACGATCAGACGGAAAAAAATGTAACGCATCAATTCCTTAAGGGAGTGTTATGGGCTGCCTGTTATTTCTAATCTATATAAACGACCTCCCCAAAATTATAGAAGAACCCTGTGTGCTATTTGCCGATGATATCTCCTTGCTTACCTCATTTGATAGCTGACAGCAGTATAAACATCCATAGTAAATTACATTTGATACTAGAAAAGACAACAAACTGGATGGCAGAACATAACCTCGAAATAAATTACTCCAAAACGAAAATAATAAACTTCCACCCTTACAAAAAAGTTGAACTAAATATAAACTTTACCTACGACAACATAAAAATAGAAAAAGTAAACGAATTCACCCTACTTGGCTTAACAATTGACACAAATATTAACTGGAATCCCCACATAATGAAAATAAAAAGAAAATCAGCAAGTTTTTCATACGCTCTCCGAGAAGTGAAAAAATCTACCGATATACAAACCGCCCTCAGTACTTATTATGCCTACGCGTACTCGTGGCTCTGCGACGGGGTTATCATACATGGGGAAATAGTACAGACGTTTCTGATCTTTTAACCCTACAAAAAAAAACTAATTCGAATAATATTTAACATCCAAAATACTGATGGCTGCAAACCATTCTTCGTCAAACATAAAATACTTACCTTACCGTGCATATACGACTACATCTTGGAAATCTTCATATTCATTACAAAATATCCAGAATTTTATATCAAACGAGGAGAAAGCAATACCAGATACCAATTGCGCCATAAAGACAAATTGACTATACCCATATCTCGCCTTAAACTACATTCATCAGGTCCCTTCGTCATGTCTATCAAAATTTTTAACAAACTCCCAGAATCGATAAAAAATGTAGAAAAATACACTCATTTTATAAATAAACTAAAGGAATTTTAATTTGTAAACACTACTACACACTAAATGAATACATTTTAAATGCCTACCTAGAATAACCTACAGTTGCAATATTATATAGTGTATTTATCATTATTGTTTCGTTATAATGGCCCTCCTCTCTCTTAATTGCCGTGCCATTCATGGCCCATAATGATCTCATAGTTTTAAGTTAAAACTTAAAAAGTTCTCGACACCTTAACTGTAACATTATGGATGCATTAAATAATATGAATATGAACAAACGAGCTCAAGTTCTACCTAAACTGCTGTTAAAGCAAGCCTGCTTCTTATTGTCACTTGTCACCCCTGAGGACTAAGTTGGAATGAAATAGTAAAAAGGGTGTCCGGGTCTTGTCAATCACCACATGAAAGGCATTAGCATCATAGAAGTTTAAAAAAACTTGTACAACAAGCATTAATTATGAGCTGTGATAATCCTGGTGAAAATACTAGGTCATGAAATTATTGTAATCTCCTCGATTTTAGATCTGTTCAACAGTAGCCTTATGATGTTGAAATTACCACAAGTAGTCCTTAATGCCTTTAATGAAAAAATTTTCAGGTTTTTAATAATTCTATTCGTAGCTGTAGTCAGTAATAAAAGACTCATCAGCAAAAGCCGCAAATCTATAATTAAATAGTTATACATAATAATAAATTCACTATACTTCTATAGGGCGACCCCCCACTAGATGGAGTGACGACCTGGTAAGACATGCAGGAAGTCGATGGATGCAGGTGGCTCAGGACCATGCTTTGTGGCATTACTTGGGGGATGCCTATGTTCAGAAGTGGACTTGTTGCTGCTGTAATGATGATAATGAAACCTCTTATAACATTGCAATTTTGGTAAAATAAACAAAATCTGTAAATTTTGTTTTAAATATTAGATATCAATTGAAAAAAAATTATATATTTTAATTGAATGAGGCAGCGAACTTATCCAAATTATAAGGTATAATCTTCCTACGATATTGGCATAGTCCGTCATAAATTTATATTTCATATTATATTTCTTTCGACAGGCGGAAGTGGTTATAATCTCCATCTCAACCATCAAATCGATCGAAAAGGAATACTTGCGCTCACGGTTCTAATGTTCGACAGTAACGGTTTTTGACCTCAGTTGTATCAGCTATGAATTTGGATAGGCAGGGTTCGGATATTAACAGTTATCGTAGCGGATCAAGGTTTTCATAAGAATTTACCGTCATTGCAAGCGAAAAATGATCAATTACATTAAAACATGTAAATTCATTTTCAGCTATAAAATATACCTTTTAGAAATCGACGGGACTTCGTAAAAAAACAGCGTTAAATAATCAAACAAATAATTGTTCCATAATAGTCGTCGTGTCGATTGGAATTAAACCTGGATCTGAATTCATCAGCAATTTTCACTGCATCATTAAGTCATCTAATATGTCTAAGGTTAAAGTCGCACGTCGTAAAATATGGACTGTTGTAAAATATTTAGTAAACGCACACTATTTCCAATGGCGGTTTACAAAATATTGCTTGAATGGTGTTTAGAAAAGGAAATAGATTTATGGGTATTTTATACGTTTAAGATGCATAAAGAGGCAGTTTTCATTATGCCTATAACCTGCGCCTACGGTTACGTTGCGTTGGCAGTAGATAGATTATGCAAATAATAGGAAATGGGACTCTTTTGTAAAATTACAATAAAATAAATTGGAAATTTTGTTCCACGCGACATAGCAAGTTTCGTAATAAATATATGTAAATAAATAATAAAAGAAAAATAAAGATACATTATTGTCGTGGTAGAGCCTTGCTGCAGCTATATTGTGGTTGCAGCACGAATGGGTCGGCTCCGGGGAACCGGGAAGACCACCGGGGAAGAACCACGCTCTCACAGAAAACCAGCGTAAAATAGCAGCTTAATGCTGCTGTTTTTCGTTTGGTGAGTGTAGAGAACCGGAGACCCTTTTTACTGGAAACGAGGCATTCTATCTGAGTTCTCAGGGGTGACAACGCATCAGCATTTTGATTCTTAATTGAAGATAGATATATGTGTCTATGGACCACAGTATCTATTTACTATCAGGTGAACTGTGTGCTTATCTAACATACTTATTCTATTTTAAAAAATGTTAGTCACGTTTGATTGTAATTATTTGTTTTCTGCTTACATCAATTTACTTTTTTGAAGCATTTGGCTTCGAGAGAGACTAAATTAGAAAAAATCACGAAACTAATCGATTCGTTGTATTTCGCAAACCGCCGATATAACCCTGAAATGCTGCAACGCTCTATCGAACAATTTGAATTACACCATAACCAGACTGTTGTGTTTAGAGGTATTACCATGATAATATAAACCGTATAATGTAGTACGTAGGGCTAAAATTTGTGAAAGTTTGAACTCAGTGAATGGGTTTCTCAAGTAACTTCACAAAATTAGTGAAGTTCTTAATATGAAATGTCGTATTTAATTTTAACAAAACTCATGCCTTTCATGCAATCTTTTATTGAATGTAAGAAGTTGTAATTATTCTCTTTCATGGAAATTAAAAATAAAACTTTGCGGTTTTATTTTTTCTTTAGAATTTATAAACGTAAATATAACATTAATTAAATTATTCATTAATTTTTCTTAAACGGATCCGTAAAAATGCAATCTAGTAGAACGGTGACCTCTTGAGGTGTTATTTCTCTGTAGTTATAAGTTTCTATTAATGGGAGGCAATCTTATAATAATTGTCCAAACTTTTTGTTTTTTAAAATTTGTTATTTACATACGCATGGGAATATTAGCTTTGAACGACTTATTAATCAGATCATGGAGACTGGAATGTACAGCTTAAGACATTATTTGTTTCCCAAAATAAGATATATTTAATTGGCCTAAGAAATACAGCAAGTGCTGGAACAAAATGTTCCTTATTACGTCGTAAAAATTAGGCCAACTACAAAATTGTAACGTATCGATATTATGTAGGTAGTTTTAAATAATTTTACTGTGGAAGCTTGTTTGAAATGAAATAAAATCTCTTTAATTTTCGATGTAAGAAAAAGGATAATCTAATAATCTAAAAGTTTCCACGGTTTAATATGTCGTTATCTTGATTAGGAGGTACCTACTTTATAAAAATTAAGTAATTGGTAGATGATGAAGGAAACATCACAAAATAGATTTTGCTCTCAGTTAGTTATTACCAAAATAAGTCAATTATTAACAAAAGTGCCAAAAAAATTCTTTAGTCCTGTCAGAATCTGTTGTATTTATATAATTTGTTTCCTTTTCCCTTACAGGTTTTCACTTGAGCGGAGTTGTGCGCGCGCCCGCCGCGGTACCGCCCTGCTCGGAGCCTGAAAGACTCTATCGGGTCACAGTTTCTTTTGACAGGTAATTGTTTATACCTCATGTATGTTAACGCTGCAGCCTATATACGTCCCACAACTGGGCACAGACTTCCTTTCATTTTGTAATGGGGATGTTAGTATGTAGTGTTCTTACGTGGTAGAGCCATGCTGCATTTATTTTATGGTTGTAGCACTAATGGATCGGCTCGAACGGGGAAGGACCACGCTCTCACAGAATACCAGCGTAAAATAGCTTAATGCTGCTGTGTTTCGTGTGGTGAGTGTAGAGAACCGGAGACCCTTTTTACTATAAATGAGGCATTCTATCTAAGTCCTCAGGAATGGCAACGCATCTGTATTTTGATTCCTAATCGAAGTTAGGTGTAGATGTCAATAGGTCACAACATCTACTTGCCTTCAGGTGACATGCAGACTGGACTCGTTTTTCACCCTTTAACTCTATACAAAAATATTCCTCAGCCATGCAGGTTTCCTCATGAGATTTTTTAACTATGGAGCACGTGGTAAATCTTCACTTAAAATTGCTGATTACAATTTTAAGTGAAGAATTTTAAGTGAAGGCGGGGTTCGAACTGAGGTTGCGCGTAATATAAAATAACAGTGCGTTCTAGCTTTTGAGATACCACAGCCCTACTTTGTATAATTATTACAATAATTAAGTAGGCAAACATAAATAATATTATTCTCATCATACCACGCATTTGAAGCGAACGCTTTGTTTCATCATTCATAATGCATACATACAGCAAGGGAGTGGAATAAGTTGCCAGCATCTGTCTTTCAATCCGATTATAATGTGGGTGTCTTCAAGGCAACAGTGAGTTGGGTTTTATTGAGCTAAGTTAGTACACTTTACAATCTTCGGCTGAATCACTATTTACCATCGGGTGAGATAGGCAGGCTTATAATAGTAATAAAAAGGTACTTTCATAATTTTGTTCAAAATGTTACCTTCACACTGCGATTGTCTGTAGCGTAGAGATGTTTAACGTGCGTAAGCACACATGGACTAACATTTGAGTATGGACTCGGAGTAATTATTTGTAATGGCCTACGGTAATTAGTATTACTTAATAATTAGTATAAGAACACATGGTCCGTGCGGGATTCAAATCCTCGACAGCAACGCCTTCGTCTTTAACCTAACTTTCTAAATAAAGTATTTTTCATTTTAAGAATATTAAACAATTCAAAACTCAACAATAAATGTTTTAATCGAAATTATTTTTAAATCGAAGCCATGTTGCTTTCATCCTTTACTTAACGTACAATATACCGTAGCGACAAATTATTTTCACCAAACACAAGACAAACGTTTTCAAAGAGGCAGGCAAGTGGTCCAAGACCATTGTTAGAACAGGCCAATGCTGTAAAAAGAATCTTTTATTACGGTGAAGGACTGTGCACCAACATAATGGCTTTTGTTGTGCGTTCACACTTCGCCAGTTTTTTGTAACATTACACACGATTGTGTTACCAAGTATAAAGCCGCAAAAACCCAATGAAAATGTTCAAATCTTAGACTATATGTCCAATACTTAAAAATATATAGCTTCTCATGTGTTTAGGCGACATCAATAGTTTTTACAGAAGCTAACGAAATATATTTATGTTTTGTTTGAACTCCAGCGACTCCTTTAAATTACCTGCTGAATGCAGGCCCACTGTAATACCTAGAGTTAGTAGGTTGGTTTGCTTTTACTACGTTCTTATTTTATATTTAATTTCTTCAATATAGAAATTCCGACATTCCTTCACTGCTCAAAATTTCTAATAACAATCTTCGAGTACAATAAAATTGAAGTGCGAGATCTCCCCTTACGCTACTAATGCTAAAGCTTTTTTTAGTCTGCTACAATTCGCGGCACGAAAGTCTAGCGGTGACCGTTATTGCGCATAATAGGCCGTATTACGCATTATTGCGTATGATTGGCTGTGCGTATCGTTCTGATTGGCTCTCCAGTCGCATTCCGGACCACATACTGATATGAAATTCGCAGGTATCCCCTCCACGTTTTGTTCCGCGCTAGAATTACGTGCCGTAGTTAAACCGTTACAGTTACAGCCTGTAAAAGTACATTGCTGAACAACGGCCTCCCCGACAGATTGTCTCATAGTGGGTTTTTGTAATAGTTATGGCAACCGCAGTTTTTATGTTTTAGTCATTATTAGTAAGACGCTGCTGTCAATTTTCTTTTATGGAATAAGGGTGACAACGATCATACAGTCCACCTGATGGTAAGTGGATGCTGTGGCCCATAGACATCTATATTTGTCCTTGATTAAGTATCAAAACGCAGATTCATCTTCACCTCTGAGGACTAAGATGGAATGCCTCGTTTCCAGTAAAAAAGGGTCTCCGGATCTCTACACTCACCATACGAAACACAGCAGTATTAAGCTGCTATTTTACGCTGATATTCTGTACCGTGATCCTTGCCCAGTCGAGCCGACCTATTCGTACTAGAACCATAATAAAGCTACAGCGTGGCTCCACCACGTATGAAATTGTATTTGTTGCCCTCTGTCACCTTTTACGACATCCAGGGAATGATATAGGGTTGTCACGCTACGAAAGTGCAATTTACCATCTAAGACTTCATTACCATTTACCACCAGGTTGGATTGTAGCAATCAAGCATTGATTTTATTATAAGTAAATTATGTGATCTAAAGTAAAAGAATGTGAATGACAATTCCAATCCTTGCCTATAAAAAAGTAGTTTTTGTTTGTATTGTCCTCCTCTTTTTCACTACTTTGAGTTCGTTTTAAAATGCGTATGTAATACCCTTTACAGTTAACGTCCAGAGCACTAACTATTATAAACGGTTTGCTTTGTCATTCGTAATGAATAAAGCTAAGCTAGCTAAGCTGGGATAGTTATCCAGAATTTGTCTTCATATCCCATTACAATGTAATATGTATGTATTTCGAGTAAAAATAAAATTAAAGTGAAAAAAGGTTTTTGATGCGCTAAGATGATTTACCATCTACGCAGCAGCACCTTTGACTAAGAAAAGTAAAGTTACAGCCTATATGACTTTTCTGGGCGCAAGCCTCCCCTCATTTCTGAGAAGGTTTTAGGGCAAGGAGATGTCAGCCGCGCTGCCCCAATGCGTGTTGGCGACTTCCCGTGTCTTCAAAAAGTTTTTTTTTGTTACCCTTTCACTAATCACATAACTTATCATGGGGTGGGAACTGAACGGTAAAAAAGCTTACGTTATAGATTCACACAGCATCTGTATTATGTTTGCAGCACAAATAGGCTGGGCTGAATAGAGAAAGACCACGCTCTTATAGAATATTATAATATAGCAGCATTATATTTCCATTTTTCGTATGGTAACAAAGATTCATCTCTCTCTCTCTATCTTTATCCTTCTCTCTTCGCATCTGCATTTTTAACATTAATCAATGTTATATGTTGGTGTGTATAGGCCACAGCATACACTTACCATGAAGTGAACTCTGTGCTCATTTGTTATACCTACCTTTAATTCCGTGAGAAATAAACTTAATTAAAAGATATTAATTGGGTGTTACTAGATGCAAGATAACGGGCGTGACATGCAGCTGCGAGGCGCGCGACATCTTCTGGTGCCAGCACGTGGTAGCGCTGGCACTGTACCGCATCAGGAACGCCGATTCAGTCCGTCTACGTGTGCCTATATCAGGTAACTGACAATCATTAACTGATTATTTTCAACGTTATTATTTGCCGTATGGTGGCGGTGGCGCAAAAGATGACTGAGAAATACCTTAGGGCTTCCGATAGATGGCGTATTACACCAGACGTAAAATGCCAAGATAGGCGAAGAAGAGCGAACGGCCCGCCTCCCAAACGTAAAGGTGGGTCTACGCTAGAGGAGCCGAGCACGAATTGAGCACAAGCTGAACCGCTCTACTCGCGAAGTCAAGTGTAGACGTACAACGAGCCTACAACATGCAAATCGATGCATGCGATGCAAATCCCTTTGTGTTCGTCATAAAACCGACAATAGGCGGAGTACAGTCGAGCACGAACTAAACGCTCGAAGCGCGCTCGTTCGAGGCTTGTAAGGTCCAACACTACACGAATTTGTCTTCGGCTCATGCTCCGCTCGTGCTCGGCTCGTCTAGCGTAGACCCACCTTTACCTTTAAGACCGATTTACACTTCGACAAGTACAGTAGCGAGTTAACTTGCGAACCTGGCGAGTTAATGCTGATGCGTCGCCTGAAACTAGCCGCACGTGTAAACGAGCAAGTTTAGTTCAGTGCAGAAGTTGTTCGCGTTCGACCCTCATAATATAAAATTGTACTTTTTTAACTAAACTCGTCACGAAGAAATTTGAACGCTACTGCCCACTTAACCGTTTACTGTCAACTGCCCTGTAACTAAACTCGCTACTGTACTTGTCGAAGTGTAAATCGGTATTTAAAGCAAATCCTCCCAAGAACAGGAGAGGAGCATGTCAAGCAGTGGACTTTCAGGGGCTGATACAGAAGAAGCTGCACCAGAGTGCATATGTTATATAATATGTTGGTCATTTTATCATCTATAGCACAAAACATTGAATTCTTAAATCAAATGCTATATTGCATTAATTCAGGCCGTAATCAAAACACTGGTGAATTCAATTATAAAAATTTCAATGAAAAAGCCATTGCCTTGCAATTATTCCCGTGGGATACTTGGTTTTAGACCCCTTGTCGTGCACCGATTCCTAAGAAAAGAGGCAGTATTATTATAGAACACACTTCATTTTAGTGTTCAAGGGTGAAAACCTGTAGCGTCCTTATCTGGAGTTAACTGCAAGTTTGCAACTGGACTTTAAAACTTTACACTGGATGATTTTTTTTACCGTCTAGAAAAAAAATTGGGTGTAACCAGGTGAACGGAATAGAAGACTATAGCACTGGTCACTGGTCATCGGGCAACCCTATATCTTTGACATTAGTTGTCAGATCGATTAATGACATACCGTGTCGGAAGCGTCATTTCAGTAGATTTTTAACCATGGAGCAGTACACACCAAAAGAACGCGCTGACATTGTTCAGCTGTACATTCAAAATAACTTTTCAATCGTGAAAACTAAACGTGCGTTTCGTAAAAATAAAATAAAGTGAAAATTGCTCCAGGTATATCGGTTTTATGCCACCGAAAACCCTCAAGTAATCGAAGAACAGCCTCTTTACGACCAAAAAGTTACTGTTTGGTGCGGTATTTGCGCGGATATGGTTGTCGGGCCGTATTTTTTTGAAGACGATGATGGAGCTACGGTAACCGTCGATGGTGAGCGTTATTGGGCTATGATAACGGATTTTCTGATGCCAATTATTCGTGAAAATGACATGGACGATTACTGGTTCCAACAGGACGGTGCCACATGCCGCACAGCTCGAGCAACAATCAATTTATTGCGACCATTGTTCCCTGGGCGACTGATATCGAAAAATGACGATTTTGACTGGCCACCGAGATCACCCGATTTGACGCCACCAGACTTTTTTTGTGGGGTTATTTGAAATCCAAGGTATACGCTAGCAAGCCAGGACTCTAGCTGCCCTCAAGAACAATATTCGTCAATAAATTGCCGCCATATCCTTCGAAACATTGACCAACGTGATTGAAAACGCCGAAAAAAGGACACATTTGGTTGCCAAGGCCAGAGGTGGCCATTTCCGCGATATCATTTTTAAAAAGTAATTATAACAAATCTCCTTAGATCAAAATAAAATATTTTAAACCTGCATGTCTGAGGAATAAGAAAAAAATATGTCGAATACATGTGAAGTTCGCCAACACGCATTGGGGCAGCGCGGCGGATACTTCCTTGCTCTAAAACCCTCTCAGAAATGAGGGGAGGCCTGTGCCCAGCAGTGGGACGTATATAGGCTGTAACTTTTACAATAAAGCCCCAGTAAATATACATGATTATCTATCAAAAAGTCTAAAAATGTTATCAAATTAAGTGTTATTATGCTATTAAAGATTATACGGTTTTTATTAACCTCTGGAAATAATGTAATAGCTACCCATGCTATTTCTAAGTACACAATATTATATTGTAAATGAATACTTTAAAAAAACCATCCCGCTTAGTTTCTTGCTGGTTTTTCACAGCGTCGACGTTTTTTCCAAACCAGTGGCAAAAGCGTTAATGACTCAATAAGTATTGTTGTATACGTTATTGTATGGTATATTGATATATAAAAATATCCTTTTCTATTTAGATTTCTCTCTAGGATTTCAAGTCTATAAGCAACAAAAATACATTACAAAACGCGCCATAAAAGCGCTGATTTCCTTTGAGATACATTAAATGATTGCTCAATAATAATACTAAAATTATGCCCTACAACAATAAAATATTTTAGATTATTTTGCTGTAGCTTGGAGACCGCATTACGCAACACTATTTTTTTACGTTTAGAAGTTACAAGTAGAACGGATAGTATACACGTTAATGTATCCTTAGTGTAATCAAATCAAATTGCATAGAGGAAGCTCTCTAGATATCAAAAAAAAAATTATTTGTTGTAAATTATCTTACTTAATTATTATACGTTCCGTGTAGTGGCGGTTAAGAATATCCACTACCCCATATCTTCCCGTGGGTGTCGTAAAAGGCGACAGAGGGAAACAGGCAGGAGATGGGCAGCAGCATCTTCCTGATAACAGCAACTGTACGACAAAAAAACTGCGGTTGCCAACCCGCTCGCCAAGCGTGGCAGCTATGGTAATATACCCCCCATGAACAATTACACAAATAGACGGCCCCCAGTCCCCGGCGGCCCCGCTATTCCTGGCTACGGTGGCGACCATGGTAACAGCGGGGCAGGGGGTGCTAAGAATCTCCGGTGGAGGTTCGGTTGCCACCTACGACGACTCGACCTGGCAACATTTAACGCACGCACCCTGAGGACTGACGAGAAGATCCTGGAGCTGGAAGAAGAGATAGACAAGTTGCGCTGGAATATTATAGGATTATCCGAGGTCCGAAGAGAGGGGGAGGACACGGTGATTCTCGAATCCGGCAACTTGTTCTATCACCGGGAGGGCGACCATCTGTCCCAAGGAGGTGTCGGATTTATCGTCCACAAGTCTCTCGTCAACAACGTTGTAAAGATTGGGAGTGTGTCGACGAGGGTCGCGTACCTGATACTCAGAATCACCAAACGGTATTCGCTGAAGGTCATACAGGTTTACGCACCAACCTCGGCACATCCCGATGAGGAGGTGGAGGAAATGTATGAGGATATTTCCAAAGCCATGCATTCCTGCAAAACCCACTACACGGTGTTGATGGGAGACTTCAACGCAAAACTAGGCACAAGAGAAAGCGGTGAGCTGAAGTTAGGGAAATTTGGAGTAGGGCAACGGAACCGAAGGGGCCAGCAGCTGGCCGACTTTATGGAGAAAGAGGGACTCTTTATGATGAACTCTTTCTTCCAGAAGCGGCCCCACAGGAAGTGGACCTGGTCGAGCCCCCACGGTTCGACAAAAAATGAGATTGACTTCATTATGACGACCAGACACCAACTGTTCAGTGATGTCTCAGTGATCGCAAGGGTGAAAACTGGCAGCGATCACCGAATGGTTAGAGGCACACTGAACCTAAAAGTTAAGTTGAAGAGGTCTCGTCTAATGAAGTCAACGCTCCGTCCCCCTCGTGCTCTAATCCAGAATCCCGAAAACTTTCAGCTCGAATTAAGTTACCGCTTTCAGTGCCTACAAGATTGCAATGCAGTGGATGATATGAATGTCAAGCTCGTGGAAACTGTCAATGCGGTCGGAGCTAAGTTCTGCAAGACCCGTCGCAGAAGAACACAAAAACTCTCCGATCACACTCTTAATCTCATGGCTGTTAGACGGGAGATGAGGCTGCAATCGTCAACAGACTTGACAGCATACAGGCAACTGAACAGACATCTCCAAATGCATGCGGCGAGACTTACGCTCGTAACTTTAATACTGCTCGTATTAAAGAACCGATCGAGCGGAACCAGGGCTCCAAAGTCTTTGCTAGAGATCTGTCTGCCAGTAAGAGCCAACTGTCAAAGCTGAAGATTGAGTGTGGCAGCATCGTTTCCGGGACACCTGAGATTTTGAGTGAGATTGAGAGGTTCTATGGGCAGCTGTACACATCATCGTTGGAGCCACACGCAAGTGTGAGTAACGATCCAAGAGCAAGTCTTATCCGACACTATTCCGATGATATCCCGGACGTCAGTCTAAGCGAGATTAGAATGGCTCTCCAGCACCTTAAAAACGGCAGGGCCCCAGGCGAGGATGGAATTACAGCGGAGCTTCTGAAAGCGGGTGGAACACCGGTACTTGAAGTCCTTCAGAAGCTCTTCAATTCCGTCCTCCATGGTGGCATTACTCCAGAGGCGTGGAGCAGAAGTGCGGTGGTCTTGTTCTTTAAGAAAGGCGACAACGCTCTCTTAAAGAACTACAGACCGATTTCCCTTCTGAGCCGCGTCTACGTGCTGTTTTCGAGAGTCATTACGAATCGTTTCGCACGCAGACTCGACGACTTCCAGCCTCCCGAACAAGCCGGTTTCCGAAAAGGCTTCAGTACCATAGACCACATACATACCCTGCGGCAGATTGTACAGAAGACTGAAGAGTACAATCTGCCACTTTGCCTGGCGTATGTGGACTATGAGAAAGACGTTTTCCGTCGAAATTTGGGCGGTGCTACAGTCCCTTCAGCGGTGCCAAGTTGACTGTCGGTATATCGAAGTGCTGAAGTGTTTGTACAGTAGGGCTACGATGGCTATCCGAGTACAGAACCAGAGCTCGAAACCTATCCAACTGCAGAGAGGTGTAAGACAGGGTGACGTTATATCCCCGAAACTCTTCACCGCTGCATTGGAAGACGTTTTCAAGCTACTGGACTGGAAAGGATACGGTATTAACATCAATGGCGAGTACATCACTCACCTTCGATTTGCCGACGATACAGTCCTTATGGCAGAATCGCTGGAGGACTTAAGCACTATGCTCAATGACCTCAATAGTGCCTCCCAACGGATAGGTCTTAAGATGAACATGGACAAAACAAAGATCATGTTTTATGTCCATGTCACACCTATGCCGGTAGTTGTTGGGAGCACTATGCTCGAAGTTGTTGACGAGTACGTTTACCTGGGACAAATAGTCCGACTAGGTAAGTCCAACTTCGACCGAGAGGTCAATCGACGGATTCAACTCGGCTGGGCAGCATTCGGGAAATTACGACATATCTTCTCGTCAGGTATACCTCAATCTCTAAAAACTAGATTGTACAACCAGTGCGTGTTGCCAGTGATGACTTACGGATCTGAGACGTGGTCCTTCACTGCTGGCCGTATGAGGACGCTCAAGGTCGCTCAGCGAGCTATGGAGAGGGCTATGCTCGGAGTTTCTCTGCGTGATAGACTCAAAAATGAGGATATCCGCAGTAAAACCAGAGTAACCGACATAGCCCAACGGATTAGTAAGCTGAAGTGGCAATGGGCCGGCCATATAGCTCGAAGAACCGATAACCGATGGGGAAGAAAGGTTCTTGAGTGGCAGCCTCGTACCAGTAGGCGTAGTGTAGGGCGACCCCCCCCCACTAGATGGAGTGACGACCTGGTAAGATATGCAGGAAGTCGATGGATGCAGGTGGCTCAGGACCGTACTTTGTTCAGCAGTGGACTTGTGAAGGGCTGTAATGATGATGAATGATGAATTATTTATACGAGTATCTTTCAAAAATCGTAGACTGTAATCGACGTATTATTTTTAAGTAAATTACTTAATCATATAATTAACTGGCCTTCTTAGAAATACACAATATTAACTAAAAACCTAGATAGCTCGAAGAATCGACAACTGATGTAGGAGGAAGTTTGTCGAGTCGCAGCCTCGTACCGATAAGCGACCTGGAGTGACCAGATAAATGATGCAGGAAATCGGTGGTTGCGAGTAGTTAAGGACCGTGCTTTGTGGAATTCTTTGGAAGAGGCCTACTTTCTTCTTTTCTTTTTCTGTTTCAGCACTGGACTTACGATGGGTTGTAATGATGATGATGAATTAATGACCCTTCGCTTACCCACTTCTCTTTCGATGAGTTGTTCTCCCTACTACATTTCCCTCTTTTCCTTGTTACGACATCCATTAGATGATATTGGGTGGTGGATTTCCTTACGTCACCACTACACAGCGACCTTCGCCGACTCGTCTACTCTCCAGACTGAAAAGTACTACCTAAACATTTATTAAACGAAGTCACTCGATCACAAAATAAATAATAATGTCCTCCAGACCGAATTTCGGCCACGGCGGCCTGCTTCAACGGAGGCTAGCCATCGGCGCAAGACAGGATTATAGTGCCCAAGCCCCAAGTGTATGCGCAAGCACAGGTGCACTCTGTTCTCTCACTCTCATAATCCGATGGGACGGTAAACCGACACGACCGGAGAGAGATCAGACGCAGGACCAACGGCTTTACGTGCTTTCCGAGGCACGGGGATGAGATACCGCCAACTTCCTGACTACGGCCAACTACTGAGAATTTCTTGACGGAAAAACTCAATAATTAATTATGATTTCTTATATTTACGCGAACACTATACATGATTAAAACTACTTTTACGGATTTTATCGCGTTTATTTTTACTTTTTATTTACTTTTATTTTTAATTCCCGACGTTTCGGGCGCTTTCCAGCACCCATGGTCACGGGGGACTGAGATGACTGACGTCCCGATGTCATTGTTAAACCCGGAGTACCTTCAGTTTTTTTAATTATTGTTTATGGTCCGATCTATGCAAAATGAACTGACTATGTCCTGAGGTCTTGCAGTGGTATGCTTGGGTTTAGTTTTAATTTTATTGATTATAGGATCCCAAGCAGGTGGTAGTACCTAGCCTCCTTCTCTATTGAAATTAGGATGTTTTTTAATTTCAATAGCCTCACGTATCATCCTTGGTAGGAATCGGTGTTCTTTCGCGAGGATTTGTGGTCTATCAAATCTGATGTAATGGTTGGGTCCGTCTAGGATATGATCACAAACTGCAGACTTCCCGGAACGTTGATGCTTCACATCAGCTATATGTTCTTTTACGCGGGTCCTAATTGATCTTTTTGTTTGTCCTATATAGAGAGACCACACCAGCGCCTACGTCACAGTGACCGAGTGATAGAACCGGCCACACTCGAGCGGTGTGCCTGCTGTACTACCATATGTCAGAGGTGTCACAGACAAGATTGGCTATATCTTGAAGCGAGCTTCTATTAGAACATTCTACAAGCCGCCGAAGAAGATTAGTCAGTTCCTACTATCCGTCAAGTGTCATATTCCTCTACAAGATGCAGGAGTGTACAAGCTTGATTGTGAATGTGGTCTCTCTTATATAGGACAGTTGCAGCAGCACTGCAAGACCTCAGGACATAGTCAGTTCATTTTGCATAGATCGGACCATAAACAATAATTAAAAAAGCTGAAGGTACTCCGGGATTAACAATGACATCGGGACGTCAGTCATCTCAGTCCCCCGTGACCATGGGTGCTGGAAAGCGCCCGAAACGTCGGGAATTAAAAATAATAGTAAATAAAAAGTAAAAATAAACGCGATAAAATCCGTAAAAGTAGTTTTAATCAATAATTAATTTTTTGACCCGACCAGGGATTCGAACCCAGGACCTCATGATCAGCAGTCGCACTACTACAACCACTAGACCAACGAGGCAGTCAAAATAAATAAAAGTACTACGACTAGATAAAGTTTTCTGTTTTTTTTTTAAAATAAGTATATTATGCCATTCATAATGTTCCGTTTAATTTAAATTTATTCCTTATCTACGTAAATAATAAATTATAAATGCAACAATCCATTTCAGAAACTCTGCTTCAAATGGACCGGCAGCAGTTACAGAAGTTCGTCCAATACCTAATCGCGGAGCACCACACAGAGGTCCTGCCTACAGCGCAGCGTCTAGCTGACGAGGTGCTTCAGGCAAGGTCCGCGATCAACAGGATCTGCGGCGCCCCCGACCCTACCGCTGGACCACCGCCTGATGCACACCACGCGTGGCATCTCGATGAACAGCAGGTGAATTATATTTTGGTAATATTCTGGTAATGACATTCTCCCAGCTGACCGACAATCAACAAGAGTGACGAGCTATGAACTGAGCAGAAAATATTATTATATCGTTACTTTGTTAATCTAACCGGTGCCGATGTAACATTTTAGCGATAAAATCGAATGTAAATGGGTTGCAGTGTGTTCCGATTGGAATTCGAACCAAGGATCTCGGTCGTCAAACAGGTACTACAAATATTCTAACTAAATGACCGTGTGTAATACAATGCATCTGTACTTGAAGCTGCATATACATACATAGTATACTTAATAATACATACATAGTAAACTCAAACCAGTTTGCACTCCATGGCGTTGTGACTTAGCATCGAGTTGCGGCGTAAAGGGCCGCGGGTTCGAATTGCGCACAGAACAAGTATTTTTAATTTTTATGGTCGTACAAACTACAAATAATTTTTCCGGTTGGGTGTTTGTCCTTGTGCAATTTGTGTTTATAAACTGCCTCCACGATACAGGAGAAAATACTAGAGTCGGGATAACGTTTTTCCAAAAAAAAAAATTTAAAATAGTATACTGACTTTGTTATAGATATTTCTTATCAAATACAAAATATTATATAAATTGTGCTAAAAGTAGCAAACATTTTTAAGTTTGGTATTACAAAATCCGCAGAGCCTAGTTTTATATATTTTTTATTATTATTTTCGATTTAGTAGATTCAAGGTCGATGATCCATAATGTGTTATCTCAAAACAGTAGTCAATGACCCTATAATTATAATTTCCCCTATTACTATTTTTGCCTAAACCATCGTGTTAGCGAAAATATTTGTTATTAATATTTCCTTTTTTAATTATGTTTAAAATATGTTGTCGAATAATCGTAGATTGCATTTTTACTTGCAAATGATCGATCTGGATTGTAGTACGGCCATTGTTTACTAACTATGTTGATTATTTTTCAGGTGTGTGAACAAGTACGTGCGTATCTACTACAGGGAACGTATTACAATGCAAATAAACAACTCAACTCCTTGTTTTCTAAGGTAAATACATTTTATATTGCATGTTACTGAATACATCATAAAAACTATTTGTCTTCAAAGTGTGACAAGGACTAAATACCTAAACCTAAAACTGGAGACAAATTAGAACTTCATCTACATTTTTATTTTGCTTCCACTTTAGGTGTTAATACAAGTAAGACATCTTTAGTGAATGCGAGTAAGATGAAAGTTATGGTTTTTGAAAGAGAAGAAACTAAACGATATGTGAAATAAAAATAGAATGGGAGTTCGTCGAGCAAGTATAGATGAGTTTGTATATTTGGGATGTGTATTCAGCAGGAATGGGAGATATGATAAGGATATAGAACGACGAGTGAACGCAGGAAATAAAGTAAATGGGGCTCTACACTCTATTGTGAGAATCAGAATGTGTCAAAAAAGGGACATATGGCAATTCACAATGCTGTGTTAGTCCCTGCCACAGAACACGGAATAAGACATCTGTTTTCTATGGTCCCTGCTATAATGTATGGTAGTAAAAGTTGGGTGTGGCAGAGTGGAATAAATGCAGTAGAAATACGGTCGCTAAGGAGTATGTTAGGGCTGAATCTGAGTGACAGGGTGAGAAATTGTGTGGTAAAAGAAAAGTGTGGCTGGCAAGATGATGATGTGACCAAGATTTAAGAAAGAAATGCTTCGGTGGTTTGGTCATGTAGAAAGAATCAATGAGAAAAGAGTGACTAAGTAAATTTATGCTCCGGAAGTGAACGGAAGAGTCGGAAAGGGATGTCCAAGGCGAAAGTTTATCGACCTAATTGGCGATATGTTGAAAATGGGCCAAATTAAGATTACCTACCCTTAACCGACTAGCATGTACGCGTAGGTATATGGATGTGCAGCAGGGGAGAGAGGTATATTAGGATCGTGTTATGTCGCCTCTACACGTTGGCCAACACAGTGGCGAATGTAGTGGCGAATATATTGGCCGAGAGTTGGTGACGGCGTCCACACGTTGGAACGTCGTTCAGTTTACTTCGGTTCGGGCCAATGTGCGGACGAATTTATTTTATTTTAGACGACGGCTTCGTGGCGCAGTGGCTTAGCAATGAGTCGCTGTGCCGGGGGCCACGGGTTTGAATCTCGCACGGAACTAGTATTTGTATATCCTACAAATAATTGTTTCGGGTCTGGATGTGTGTCCTTGTGCAGTTTATGTTTATAAGCTGCCTCCACGATACAGGAGAAAATGCAAGTGTGGGGGTATAAAATAATTATAAAAGAATAGTGGATATTAATGAGGCTGTAAATAGATATACGATATACGATTAGCTTTATTTATTCTTTACATGCATCGTAAACTGGAATAAATACCATTAATAAGAACTTAACTTATTTTAAAGTTAAAGGAGTTATAATCGATTAGTCCATGTTTTAAAATAGGGTTTTGATTTTAAAGTTTAGCAAAACATGTACTTGCTTTTCTATCAGACATTTGGTGTATATAAAAAACACCTTATAATTTATTTGGTAATTTAATTATTTTTTGGGAAAGACAAACAAAACAAAACAAAAACAATAGCAATAAGTATAATTAACACTGACTTAATAATAGGTAGTAATTATAACTTAGAACATAAATGAAAAACTCATGATGAGCAAAGTGGCTCAGGACCATGCTTTGCGGCAGTCTGTGGAGGAGGATGTTCAGTAGTGGTCTTGTGAACAGCTGCAATGATGATGATGATTCGAAATCTTGCACGATTAAATTATAAGAAATCGACGTTTTTCTATAGGATAGGGTGACAAACGAGCACACAGTTCACCTGATGGTAAGTGGTTGTAGCGGCCCACAGACATCTACATCTATCATCGATTACGAATCAAAATGCAGATGCGTTGTCACCCGTGAGGACTAAGATGAAATGCCTCGTTTCCTTTAAAAGTGTCTCTGGTTCCCTACACTCACAATACGAAACACGGCATCAGTAAGCTACTATTTTACGCTGGTATTCTGTGAGAGCGTGGTCCTTCCCCGGTCGAGCCGACCGTCGTGCTGCAACTATACTTCTAATATAATTGCATGGTTCTACCACTTATAAACGACGTGCTTCATTTTTTTTTCATTTTAAAATTGTTCGCGTAATAATCTGATTGTAAAAAAAGTTAATTTTTTTTTTGATAAATAGCTTATTGATTAAAACAAATGTTTAATAATAATTAAATCGCGCTAATTAAAGTAATAGGAATGTTTAAAGTAAAAACAACACTAAAACAGTAATGATGTAGTCAGCTGGTGTACGTGTTTGTTTGCCGAACTAATGCACATAAGTTAAGAATCTCAAATACAATGTAATAGTAATTATATTAAGTATAAATATACATATTTCTTTTATTTACGGCTACTTTGCTCAGGAGTAGGCACTTAGTCTATATTTGTACAACGTATTAAAAAGGCCGAAAGTTTTCGTAGTCCTTGACATAATAATCTTTAAATAACATTTTAAACTTGCTCCATATGGTAGGATGTCGTAATACTACATAATGCATAATGCTGTATTATTATTTTCAGGTAAGAGAAATGCTCCGAGCACAAGACTCCAATGGACCAAGGATGCTTATGCTCATGACTGAACAATTTCTCTCCGACCCGCGCCTTTTACTCTGGAGGAACCAAAACACGCCGATGACGGAGAAGTGTAGGCAGCTTTGGGAACAATTAGGCGCTCTGTGGGTCAGCATAGTGCTAGACCCAGGCAGCAACAAGCATCACAGGATGCAATGGAGGCAGCTGCTCGAAAAATGGTCTGCGGTGGAGGTGTGTCCCACTGAGGACCCAGATTACCGTTCCTTTCCTTTGGTGAGTACTTATAGTTTACAAAAAGAAGCTCTCTTATGCCCAGATTACCCAGATTTTAATATGTCGTTAAGTCTCGTGATGTCTCTATCATTTTAACTCTAAGTGGCTGTGACACCGCGAGACTTAACAACATTTTAAAATTGAGTAGCGTTTTAGTATTTGGCAATTACTTTGTGTAAAACAGTGTTTTTATCCAATCACAATGTGGGTGTCTACAAGGCAAGATTAAAATTAAATATGCTTTTGTTAAGCTAAGTCAGCACTCTTTACCAACGTCCTCTACATCGCCACTTACCATCACGTGTGATAGTAGTTAAGCACTGGCTTATAATCACAAAAAAAATTGTAACACACTGTTGTCTCATGGCTCAGACATACCTCCTCTCAACCTCCTTTATATCTCCTCTCAAACTTCTTAATATCTTCTCTCAAACTCCTTAATACCATAGGTTTGTGAGAAAGCATTTGCTACAGGATATGAATGATATGAAGCTAAAACTAAAAAATATAATGCCGTGTGCTGGCGCCATAAGAGAATCCATCGCTCCATTTCGTCCCGTGGATGTTGTGAGAGTTCATATGGATTCCGATAGATGGCGGCATAAAATCATGTACGGTTGACGTAAACGTTAGTTGAATAGTGTTTTGTCTCATTTTGAACTTTACGAGACACTTGTTGCTAAAAAATGACAAAACACTATTTAACAAATCAAGTGTTTAAAACTGTTTATGAATAAAAGGGAACATATATAGACGGGCAACGTGAGGCAGTGTCAAAGGCGATATATGCGATCGTCAATCCGACGTGATCGTCAGACGTGACGATTAAAGCCCTTGTTCAGCTGAGGACATTTACGACTAGTGAGGAAGGAAATAAGATGGAAGGAAAAATAAAAATAGACATATTTTTATTTTTAAGTATCCGATTGTTTACGTATCGCCTAGGCAGGATGGATTATATCGGATCGCCCCTATTAAAATCCCATGTTGTTTTACCTTTCTCGTTTTTGGCAACGCCTTGCTAACACTTATCTTTAGTCCCACGGAGTAATTCGAGTCTGTCACGCTGAGGTCGTGAAGTCGAGTCCGATAACAACGACAGATCTGGTCTATGACACTCTCACCAACCACGGAAGACAATTAGAGTAACGCATCGACAGCCACGTAGGTGCTTTTGACTTAAGTGGGCGATCAATCCACCGCTACTAAGTAGCGTATCGTGAGTTTCGTAATTGTCGACTTCCAGGAAATGTCAAAAAAATATTCTGTCCCCGGGAAGATGGCGGCGTTACTGTCACATAATGTGCTGGATGTGGAATTAACACACTGTCGACGAAAAGCAACCAACGTCAAAGGTGCAAAGGATTGGTTACTGCGCGGTGATTACGACAAATCGTCCCAAACTTGTCTCCTACATGGTTTTAACGACCATCATCACAATAATGTATAATAATAAGCGTTGCACAATTTCCATCACTTACAGAATGTATAAGATTTTTGTGGGGATTAAATTAATGGTTGATGTCCTTGTTCCAGTATGCAAGAGAAAGGGAGAGAAACGAGAGGGATCGCGACAGAGACCACAGGGACAGAGATAGAGAACGGCATCGCGATCGAGAAGAGAGGGACAGAGAGAGACTGCGTGAACGCGAGGAGAGGGACAGGTAACTTACTTGTTTATTGATGTAATATAAAAAATTTGAATCAAAGCCTACATTCACCATTGGACTTTGATAGGCTGTAATGATGATGATGACGTTGATGAGGGGGATAATAATTATTATATTAATGTAATTTTCTTTTATTTCAGAGAAAGGCATAGAGAAAGACAAAGGAGAGAAATGCATTCCCATTCTGAGAGTTCGGATGAAGATTCTAGACCAAACAAGTGAGTTAATTACCTAGTTTGAAATAATATTTTTGTAAGGACCACTATAAATTTAACTAACTTTTAAAATTAACACACTTTCATAAAGTAGGGAATTTTATAATTCAGCTTACACCCAATTTCGGACGTCTAAACGATCGAATTGACACGAGATGATGAAATTTAGTATATATTATATTAGAATCAATGAGAGTACATTAATTACATGTTGTAGGTATAAGTTTAACTCTAATATTAATTATGCCACGACAACATATTCCGAGAGAGTCGTAAGGAGCGACAGAGGGAAACTGAACATATTTAAGAGTAAATTCGGGTGGCCTTTTCTCCATACAAACGTTTTCGCCTGTTTTAGTTATAGTTTATGACTAGCAATGATTTTCTACGGTAAAATAAATACCAACCTCTTCTATGTCACTGTTCTATCTTTATAAGCACTAGAACCCTTACCAAATGCTCAGAATTGCCTATTTCGACCACAGACTACAGAGGCCTAGTGTTCAAATTTGATAACTAATACTGAAAAAAGAAAAACACGGTATATATCCTTATTATTCAGTTTATAAAATATCTTTTAAATTGGTCCAATATTGGAGGCGGCAATGGTACAGAGCCAAACCTTGAATTATGCCTTTTTACTTAGGCTATTTAGACGGATCTGCAGTTGTCCTTATCGCACTCGCGCTCGTAGAGCGCAAGCAATAGTTTGTTCAAATACCTAATTTTCAAACTTCTCTCGGCCCGCATTTCCTTCTTAAGCAGTTGGGCAGTAGTTAACTTGATGGTAGGATTCCTTTTTTGCATAGAATTCCGTCTTAGTAGATTCCACCCCGTAGCTATTTCTACCGCCAAACAGTAGGCTTCTGTGTCTGGCATGCTAGCAGAGTCTAAGATCTAGTTTACTGCGTACCTATCCATCTACTAGCGTGGCGAATTTTGCCCATCTTCCCTGTGATGCTCTGGATGTGGGCAGTGAACTATTTACGGACGTAAAGAAGAGAGTTATTTAAACTGTTTCCCCCATTTTGTGTTTTTGAACATACAGAGGGTACTTAATAATCAAATATGACTCTACAAGATACCAATTATTTACAGGTTCATTAAAGCTTTAAAAACGATATTTTGATCTCCATATTTGCAGTTATGAAAGAGAATACAGAAGAGCCAGCAAAAGACTCAGACTTCATAACCAAAGGCCTCCACCTCAAACCACTCCCCGGACTGTATTCCACAAGTAAGTTGTAGCATCATTATAATTACTATGTAATGGTGGGTGGATCATTATCATGATTTATCATTACAGCCCTTCACAAGTACACTTCTGTACATAAGCCTCCCGCAAGGAATGCCACATAGCAAGGTCCTGAGTTATTGCATCCATCGATTTCCTGCATGTCGTAACGGGTCGACAGTCCAGCTAGTGGGATCCGCCCTACACTTCGCCTACCGGTACGAGGCTGCTACTCGAGAACCTTTCATCGCTATCGCTTGTCAGTTTTTCTTCGGGCTATACGGCCAATCCATTGCCACTTCAGCTTACTAATCCCTGGGGCTATGTCGGTTACTCTGGTTCTATTGCGAATATCCTTATATCTAAGTTTATCACTCAGAGAAACCCCGAGCATAAAACTCTCCATACGCTGAGTGACCTTGAGCTTCCTCATACAGTCAGCTGTGAAGGATCACGTCTCAGATCCATAAGTCATCGCTGACAAAATGCACTGGTTGTACAAACTTGTTTTCAAGTTTTGTGCCGTACCTGACGAGAAGATGGTGATTTCCCGAACGCAGCCCAGCCGAGTTAAATCTGTAGATTGATCTCTCAAGTAGAAGTTGAACTTACCTATTCAGATTGTTTCAAGTTTTGAGGTACCTAGCTTATCAGTATGCACTAAGTATGATAAGTTGTAGTAATGTAAAGAAAAGCTAAGTTTCTTCGGGAAAATTCATCAAATCAAATCATTTTATACTGACAAAGCATAATTTTCATGCGTGGGTAGAGCCTCACTGCAGCTATATTACGGTTGTAATACGAATGCGTCGCCTCGACCAGCGCGTGAGCACGCTCTCGCGGTATACTGACGTGAAGCAGCAGAATAATGCTGTTTCGTGAGGTGATGCTAAAGAACCGGAGACCCTTTTTACTGGCAGTGAGGTATTTTTGTCCTCACAGGTGACATGGCAACACATCTGCATTCTTAATCGAGGAAAGTTGTGTATGTCTATGGGTCGCAGCTTATTCACTTACCATCGGGTCGACTGCGTTCGTATGCTCGTTTGTCACCCATATTCTATAAAAAATTAAAATCATATGTCGCATTTGTTATTTTACTAAACTCTTAAAATTACAATAAAATTTCATGAGAGAATAAACATAGACAATGTGCGTTTCGTACGTAATCTTTTTCGTCACAACAGCTAAATAACAAATATGAGATTGTCTTTCGTCTCTTTTTATCAAATATTTTAAATAATTATCCTTAAATTTTAGTTTACTTACACAGATTTGGTTTTATTGATACAGATGTAATTTTAAAAGCTCTTTAGCGGTACAAAATAATTAACAGCCATCTGCAAACTCCTCAATATTTTTTTCTGAATTTTAAGTTAATAAATATAATAAAAATATTTAGTTAAACTCTTTAAATAATAATTATTAATTATGTCCGTAGGGCCTTAGATGCAGTGGACATTTCTTGGGAAAACGAACATTTGAAAAGCATTCTCAGCAGTGATGAGTACTGTGACTTTGAGAAGCCGGACAAAGCAGGCAGTTCAGGAACCAACACTCTACAGCCTTACCCCAAGTTCAACGAACTAGGACAACCTTTGTGGCATGGTTAGTGTGATTGTATTAATTTAATATGAACGGATGAGAGTATTAGAGTGACGGAAGGTATTTTAATAAACTAATTTAACCTCTCAAATGCCAAATGTCCAAATTTGACCGCTTCGATATTCCGTCAAAATTCAAGAGGTCAGATTTGAGCGCATCCACACCGCTTTAACCCATGAATAATCGTACTTATGTTTAGAGACTACTTTTTATGAAGAAGTTCGGCATTGTAGAATCAATATGAAATATTCTATTTCTATCCTCTAGTGAAATAATAGAACAGTTAGTCTATGGATATTAATCTATATTCTGTATTCATTGCATACGCTATTTTCATTTGAATGTTGTTGTGTTGATTTTTGGATTTTTTTAGTGTTTTATTAGTGTTTTACTAAAGTGTTTTATTATAAAATTGTTATAAAAGTTTTTGTGTGAATATAATTTATTTTTTTACGTAAATAATTTCGAGTAATATATAGAAATAATTGTGATTTTCGTGCTGCCGACATCCGTTTGGTGTTTTTTTTTTTTTGTTATCAAAATACAATACAATCTTTTTGTAATGAAGTAAAACCTGACTTTTATTTAGACCACAAAATAAAGTTTTTTGTATAGGTTTTATAATGCCAAACTTCTTCATAGAAAAGTAGTCTCTAAATATAAGTTTTAATAGCTTTAAGTGATGTGGGTGGGTGCGGTCGCATGCGACCGCTCGGGATTTGCCAAGCGCATGGGACTGCATGGGTATTTTATGGGGATTGAAGATTTAAGGCCATGTATTCCTGCAAAAGTAGGCATTTAGCGCAGTCCCGGCCGCGTACGAATTGTTTCGCGCGGACTCCAAGGCAGTGAACTTGCATGACCCAACCAGCAACACAGTATAGAAATAAGCAGTAGGATGACTTTTTTATTTGATTTTACAAATGCATTTTTTATTATCAAACTTTTTTTATTATAGTGATATTTTAGAGTTACATAATAAAAAGAAAATTAACAACCAGTTCGCTTTTGATAGGTATGGAAACTGTATGAGTTGAGAACTGTTTTTAAGTTTCGTGTGAACACACACAACCCTAGGGGAGAAAGTCAAACTTACAGTAAAATTCATTCATAACTATTAAAACCACAGGATTTATATTTATGGCACGCAATATTTAGTCTGTGACAACAATTATATAAACTCGTCAAGAACTGATTTATTGGTGCACGGAGAAAACTGACACAGGTCCGTGGTCCATAAGCGCCAACGCGCGACGACAATGCATCTGCGTTGCCATGAGATTTCCCGTTGCGATGTTCGATCTCAAAGTCGTATTCCTGCAGTAGTTCAATCCACCTCGCAACTTGTCCTTCTGGATTTTTAAACTGTAATAGCCATTTTAGTGCAGCATGGTCAGTTCGTAAGTGAAATTTTCGCCCCAGAAGATATTTGCTAAAATGCTGCAACGACTTTACCACAGCTAGCAATTCGCGTCTTGTGACACAGTAGTTCCTTTCCGGTTTTGACAACGACTTGCTGAAGTACGCTATCACGACCTCTTGGTCACCATTCCGTTGAGACAACACACCGCCAAGTCCTATATCACTTGCGTCTGTGTCAACTATAAATTCTTTGCTTGCATCAGGGTATCCCAAAATAGGTGTTTTGCACAGACGGTCCTTGAGCTCCTGGAATGCGATATTGCAACTTTCATCCCAGCAGAAATGTCGCTTCTCCTCGGTTAGCTTGTGCAGAGGTTTGGCTATATCCGCAAAGTTCTTCACAAATCGCCGGTAATAGGAGCACAAACCCAAAAATGCTCTAACCTGCGTCTTGTCTTTTAGAACCGGCCAATCCTTGACAGCGGCGATTTTCTCTGGATCTGTGCGGATACCTTCTTCCGATACTACAAACCCCAAAAAGTTAACTTGCCGTTGGAATAGTGAACATTTCTTCGGGCTCAACTTGAGGTTGGCACTCTGAATCTTCATGAGCACGCGTTCCAGGTTTTGAAGGTGTTCCTCAAACGTACGGCCTACGATGATGATGTCATCCAAGTAGACCAGACAGGCATCGCCAATTAGCCCGGTAAGTACAAGTTCCATCAGCCTTTCAAACGTTGCTGGAGCATTGCACAACCCAAACGGCATTACTTTAAATTGCCACAGACCCTTTCCCGTCGAGAACGCAGTTTTCTCCTTGTCCTTAGGGTCAATTTCAACTTGCCAGTAGCCACTTTTTAGATCCAGCGTGCTAAACCACTTTACTCCTGTAAGCATGTCCAGCGTGTCATCAATTCTTGGCAAGGGATAGCTGTCCTTCTTCGTAACGTCGTTCAGACGGCGGTAGTCAACACAAAACCGCATGCTGCCATCCTTCTTCTTCACCAGCACCACTGGTGAACACCGTGGACTAGAGGAAGGTTCAATAACACCATCCTTCACCATTCCTTCAATCATGGTTTCCACTTCCTTTTCGCGTGCTACCGGCAATCTTCTTGGCCGCTGACGGATAGGCAATTCTTCTCCTGTGTTTATTTTGTGTTGAACTAAGCCAGTCTTTCCTATGTCAGCATCGTTTGATGAGAATACATCGGCGTACTCGAGTAACAACTTCTTCGCCTTCACCAATTCGTTCGGGGACAGAACACTGCGACAGTCTTCCAAAAGTGTGGTCACTCTCGTTTCTGAATCCTTGCTGGGGGTCCCACTCGATATATATTGGCACTGACGTAACCAATCCACTTCCTCACAAGTACCAACCAGTGTGCCTTTTTCTATAATCTGTTCCCGATCGCAAAGGTTCAGCACACGTACTCCTGAGATGTCAGTGGTCCTGACCAAGGTTCGAGCTACTTTCCATGGAAGGTCATTGTTTACCCTTTCCACAAGTACACAACGGTGAGCTTGCCCAGCGCTACTTTCCGGGTCATTGTTTACCCTTTCCACAAGTACACAACGGTGAGCTTGCCCAGCGTTTCGAGGAAGACTAACCGGAACAATCGTTTCCGATCTCGGCGGAAGAACAATCTTCTTAAAGCTGTACACGTTCCCTGGTAACGCACCTTCCATAAAAAGTTTTTCCTGTCCACATTTCAAAACACCTTGCTTAACGTCGATCTCACAACAATTATTCCTCATAAAGTCTAGGCCTAGGATGCAGTCGTCCATTATATCAGCCACGATGACATTATGCAGGTAGATCACGTTGCCTAGCTTCAACTCCATCTCCTTCTCTCCACGGACGGGTATACGCTGACCGGTGGCTGTTACCAAATTAATGCGTTCTCGGTTGTATGCGGAGTCCCCAAGGAACTGACTTATAAGTTGGGAACTAACAACCGTACGAGAGGCTCCAGTGTCTATGGTCAGTTTACACGGCATTCCGTTGACCTCGCCCTTGATGATTAGACTGTTCCCATCATGGGTTTGTGAGATCGAGATCCTTGGGGCTCTTTTAACATCAGCCAGCACCCGCCCCGCAGTTCTGGCTTTTACTCGTTTCCCTGCTGCTGCAGGGCGGTGCTGTTGGCCGCACTAACCTCCTAAGATCGTTCACCTTCCCTTTCTAGGGTTCGCTTAGGGCAGCTGGATCGAAGATGGCCCTTTTCCCCACAGCCATAGCACCTAGGGCTGTATCCTCTGTTGCGGTCGCGAACTGTAGTTGCTGCAACCTCCCTGATGCGATGGGAACGATGATCCTGCCGCACGGCTTCCACCTCCAGTGCATGGGCCAAGGCGTTCTTAAGCGTGTCGTGGTGCCCGAGTCTCACAGCAGCTCTGACTTCAAGGTCGCGGATGCCGTCGATGAATGTCTGAACCAGGTTCCCTTCAATGAGCGCAGGTACAGACTGGTATGCTTTTCGAACCATCTTCTCCACCTCAAGGGCCCACTGCTGCAGGTTCTCGTTGCTGCGCTGCACGCGATCTTTAAGCTGCGCGCGAAAGACGTGTTCCAGATGAGCGTCGCCATATCTCGCTTCCAAGGCCTCAAGAAGCTGCTCATAGGTCACTTTCTTACTGAGAGCTTCCAACACAGTTAAGGCTTGGTCGCGCAGGCCTAGGGTGAGTGCAGTCATGGCTTGGCTTTTATTCCAACCGTTCGCCTCCATGACGGCCTCGAACTGGATTTTGTAGGCCGACCAGGAAGAGGTCCCGTCGAACGGCGGCACTTTGAATCCACGTAGCGAAGGTGCTGCAGCTACTACGGGAGCTGTAGTTCCATCCCCAAGTTTGAGGTCGTTTAGCGTTTTCTTCACGTCAGCCATCACGTTGTCAACCCGATTGTTCACATGGTTGATTCGGGTTTCATGTTCTTCGATTCGGGTTTCAGCTTCCGACAGGCGGTTGTCGTGTTGAGCAACCCTATCCTTCACGTCGCTTATCTCTTTCCCAAAGGTAGCGTGAAGGTCCTTCATGAGGAGCATCTGCTCTTCCGACCGACGAGCCTGTTCCGCCTGCTGATCTTCCAACCGACGGGCCTGTTCCTCCTGTCGGCGGGCCTGTTCCTCTTGTCCGCTCTGCAGCTGCTCTTTCAACTGACGGACCTGCTCCTCCTGTCGGCGAGCCTGTTCCTCCTGTCGGCGAGCCTGCTCTTGCAGCATCACCATCAGAGCACCTAAGTCAGGTGCTGCAGATGTAGGAGCTACCGACGGGCCTGCAGCCGATGGCTGGCCCTCCGACGTCTGCGGCGTTGCACCACCAAATCTTCGTTGGTCCGTCTCCTGCTGTCGTTGACTTCGGGTACGGACACCCTCCGTTTCCCCCTTAGGTAAAATCGGCATGATTTTATCCCACTTCAGACACCAATTGTTACGAGCTTGAGGTTCGTGACAATAAAAATTGCCGAGTAAAATTACCTAAATTAACACTTTAATTTACTTTACACAAATTAAAGTTAAAAACACTAATAATTAAACACACTAATTCACTTTATTCCGCTCCGAAGCTTCGCTTGTTTCGCCAAATCAGCACTGCCTCGATCGCATCTTTCAGCGCCTACTTATATAAATTAGCAAAATATCCAGAATGTTCAAGTAAACACGCGCAAGGTACCGAGAGTTCGAGTTTTAAACTTCAAGAAGTTTAGTTCTTCGGTTCGAGACTAGATGGCGCTAGTGCGCCGATTTGAGGCATTGGAGCGCGTAACATTATTTTTACTTATTTTTATTTATTTATTAAAATAATAAATAAAAAAAATAAGTAAGTAAAAATAAGTAAATAAGTATTAATAATTTCTAGACACATCTCAACAGATATTTCGTTTATAAATTGCTATCAATATTGAAGCATTCTTTTATATTTAGCATCCATTTAACACAAAGCTGATAGGAATACTTTTTAAACAACATAATATAATCATTAAACGATAATCGAGTATAGTGAATTTCGAGGTAAATTATTTATGTAAACGTTTTTGAATCGTCGTAATGAAACATATTTCCTAAAGAAAATATTTTCACAATTAATTTGATGTAAAATAACATTAGAAATAACGTATAAAAACAGAAAAATTATCAAATTTTTGATCGAGTTCCTAACCAGTACACAAACAAAAATGGCGAAATATCATTTTCAGATTTTTTTTCTATATAGTTATTTGTTACAGAGTACACAGATAAAATTCACTCTCACAGATGACAAATTTCAAACACCACAATCTCTAATTTTTTACTCTGCTATCTTCAGCGCTGTACGCGAACGGAACGATGTCGTTGAGAGCCGTGGCAGCTCACATGGTTAGCGCTCGTTATAGGTATCACGGTACGGGAGCAACCCGGGTTCGATCCCCACTGGCACCAATGAAATTGTTGCGTGCTGATTTAGCTATCAGTTGGAAAGTCTGTTTTTCTGGGCCGTTTTGTTTTGTTACACTGACATTTCGCAAGTCACCTAGGGACCTAGGAGGTTGTCGGTTGCTTATTTTTTATTTTTCTTTAAAATTTTCGTCGGTAAAATAACATATTTATAAAAGTAAAAAAAAAGTAAAGTTACAGCCTATATACGTCCCACTGCTGGGCACAGGCCTCCTCTAATTTCTGAGAGGGTTTTAAGGCAAGGAAATGTCCGCCACGCTGCCTCAATGCGTATTGACGAACTTCACATTTCTTCGAAATATATATTTTTTAATTTCTCAGACATGCAGACCGAGTTCGATCCCCGCCGGTACCAATGAAATTGTTAATTGCAATTGTGCTGATTTACCACGTGCTCGGCGGTGAAGGAAAACATATTTAGGAAACCTGCACGTCTGAGAATATAATTATAATCGAATGTAAATCAAATTGACATAGGTAAGTACAGATAAAATTAGCGGAACATTAATAAAATTTTGAGATCGTTTTTTTTTTTCAAAATTTTATTTATATATTCCTCTATTTTTGTCTGTGCTTATATCAATTTGATTTAATCCAAAGTTCAAGCAGGGGTCAATGTAGCGTAGTAATTTAGAGCGCAGGTATAGCTATAGTCATACGAACGTCACAGGCCGCAGCTGAGGCTGACTGAGTCGAATAAAACTAGAATAAGCGCGCGTCACCGCGCATGCATGTGTGTGTAAGTGTCGTCCTCCCGCACCGCACCGGGGGGAAATATTATTCAGTGAGATGCACGATAATTCATATAAACACACGCGCGTAAAAATATACGAAAAGGCCTTTGAAAGGAGGGGTTTTACGAAAAAACCACTGCATGTATCAATTACCAATAAAATTTATTGAATTCTTCGATAATTGAGCTGTGTCGGTACCGACTTTGTTTTGGAAATTTTACACTGCTTTTATTACTAATTTACGCCCAAAGTTGTGTTAAAATTGGCAATAAAAACGAATCTTTGGTAGCTCGTAACTTTTTACTGACTTTTTATTTTACTATTCTGTTTCGGTACAGACAAAATTAATAATGAGACAAAACGATATCATGTTTAACTTTGGATGTACACTGTCAAACAGCGGAGTAAAACCCCTCCGAAATTTCTATGGAAATAATGTCGGCTAGAGTCACCTTAAGAAAAAAATTGCAAAAGCGATGCGTCTAGTCGTGTCTTGACAGCAGTGTAAATTAACAAGTATAGCTCACCAACCTGATGAGCTATTGGTTCGTAGGTGTGCATATTAACCAATAAGGAGACATGGGTTCAATTAAACGTTATTTTAAAGGTGTAGACAAATATCAGCACTATTTATAAGGAAATAATGTCTGTAAAGGCCGAGTACTGGCACAGGGCTGACTACCGGGTGTTTTACCCTATGCCTATTTCTTTGGCACACTTTGTAACCTAAAAGGCTTGATGGAATTTAACATAACGGGATATCGTTCAACTTGTCTTAGTTGTGGAACATAGGGTATAAAAATTATTTTGTCAGTAAACTTTGTATGTAGTTGGGTTTTTTAATTACTGTGTTAACCATTGGTCTCGTTCAAATAATTATTTTTTTTGTTACTTAATATTGCGTTCGCATTATTCGCTGACTATATAACGGAATAGGTAATTATCGTATATATTACTAGCGATCTGCCCCGGCTTCACACGGGTGATATATTATTATATAACCTTCGGAAGTGCAAGCAATATGTTGACACAGAGAGTTGTACCACAATCTGATGAATGATATGGCAGCGCATAAAGTACGAACAAAATATGTAAATACGTATTATTTATATTTATTATAATTTAAATAACATTACGTATATCATTTATTTATTATTAGCAGTAGTACTAGTAATGAGTGCTAAGTTTGCCTTTTTTTAATATATTTTCCTTTATGGGAAATGGATGGATTTTATTTACTGAAAGATATTTCAGAAATTATTGAATATTTTTTTATTTTATTTATTTATTTATTTAAGAAATTTATGATTACAAAGATAAATAGTTTTAGTGTAAACATAAACTCATTAGAGTTTTTCCCTACACCATTGCTGTCGACACATTATTCTAACACATTACAATACATTACATTACCAAAATTACATTAATATTATTATCAACTTAAATTAGGTGCATTAAATGTTAAGTTTCTATTTGACAAACTATTTGTGGGTACATAACTATAAAATAGTTTTAGGCGATGAGCGTAAAATCACATAGTGAATTTAAGAATTATTACATTCTGTGAATAATCGTGAAAAAATAAAAAAGTAAAAAAAAAATAATCGTGATACAGGATGATTATAACATATATTTTCATAAATTTATAATAAGATAATACGTTGGTAAAGTAAAGCAATAACATAGAACGAGAAGTTGTTTTAAGTGTTACGAGTATTTAGTAAGAGTTAATTGTATATAATTTTTTTTAAAAACCTTTGTAGGAAGTGAGTATACAAGTGTCTCTGTATGTAGTTTTGTGTACATAAAGATGGATTGGATATCGGTGGTGATTGCGTGTTGTGTGCAGAGCACCTGCCGGTGGTGGGCGCGCGCATCGAGGCGCTGCGTGCGCACGGACGCGCGCCCGCTGCGCTGCGCCTCGCAGTCAGCGCCGCGCGCGCGCTGCGACACCGCCAGGTACGCGCGCCGCGCTCACGACGCAGTCAACACCATCATCTAACCACTAACATTTCTTTTATGGAACCTGTTGCGACAATAAGTTTCTACTGCAACAGGGAACCTGTAATAACCACGTTTCTGTATAGTCTTACTAGGTAACCATCTATGTACGTGGTACAGCCACACTGCAGCTATCAGCTAGCAGTTCTGTCGGCTCGACCGGGGAAGGACCACGCTCTCACCAGTGAAAAATAGCAGCTTAATGCTGCTGTATTTCTTATGGTGAGTGTAGAGATCCGGAGACCTGTTTTACTGGAACCGAGGCATTCCATCTTACTCCTCAATGGTGACAACGCATCTGCATTTTGATTCTTAATCGAGACTAAATCTTAATGTCTATGGACCACAGCATCCACTTACCTGTGTTCTATAAAAAATAGTGACAAAATTAAAGCGATAAATAACGATAGTTTCTTTGTTACCAATAAAAGTTAAACAATTACTATCTATGTATGTACCAATATTTTCACTTTTATTGATATTTCATAATATCAATTGGCAGACCTTTTTTATAGAAAGTTGAGTTCTTTCATCAGAAGTCGAGGCCGTAGAACAATATAACTAAAATGAAGCAAAATTATCAACGTCGACGTAGCAATGTTAGCGCTTTTTGCAGCTGGTGCAACCTATTGTACAATAACATTTACTTTTTACCACTAAAGCAAGCTTACTGAACCAACCTAATGCACGATTTGTTGTAACTGGTTACACTTTTATTTTCAACCCAACGTGTTGCTGTAAAAGATTGATATTATCATACAGAATATGATAAAAAATGATAAAAATAAAAAGAAAAAAATCTATTAATATAAATTAGTGAAAACTAATTATATAATTATAAATTAGTGATTCTTTTTTTATTAAATGAGAAATGTTTCAGGGGATATCCCATATAAAAAGTTCTACCCCTAAAGAAAGGTAAGACGAAGTTTTTAATGCAACTATTTAGATGACCGTTGAGTTTGTAATATTACTTCGTCTACTTAAAAGGGTGATAAAACGCTTATTCAAAAGTAAAATCCGACTTGAAAGTAAGTACTATGATCATAATCTGAAGTCGGGACTTTAACTATATCACTGTGTCTTAACATAGACTTCAGAATTTAAATTATTTTATTCTTTTAGTTCTTTGAGTCGGCATTTACTTTTTATTCAAAGTTAATATTTAGCCATCAAAAAGTTGTTTCTGTCGCGTCCTCATTCCCCTCTAACGTTTCCTACGACGCCCACATTAATTATATAGAGTTAGTCACTCTGTAACCGTCAATTCTTTTTACACTCATATGATACGCCACCGTTATAAATATTATGTTAAAAATATACCGACAGAAAATGCACTTTTATAAAAATCTGCATAACAATGCATACAAGGTTAAACATATATGTGTATCTTATTTCCTTTCGACACTGTTCGGCCTATAAAAGCCACTGTTGATCATAGGCCTCCCCCAAATGATTATTATATGATGAAAATATCACCTCTTAGGAGGTTTTGCCATAGTTGCTACGCTTGGCAATCGGGCTGGTAGTTTTTTATAATTTTAAGTTTTTCTCAGAAAGATGATGCTGTCCATCTGTTTTAATTACCCTCTGTCACTTCTTACGACACCCACATAATGATATGGGGTAGTGGACAATCTTATACCGCCACTACACGATAATTAAAAAAAAAGAATGTTGACAATGCTATAAACATTACTAATATTCCCCTTAACCACTCGTGGTAAGCTTATATTGCTTGTGTTACGAGTAGTTCACGCCAGTAGTCGAATGGCGGATCGAAACCACGACCTCTTTGAGTTCGCGGTCTGCGCCCTGCTATTAGGCTACTGCCGCTTATTTTGATTAATTATAACAAACTCATAATGCACTTCACTATTTCCGTCCGCGTTTCGCTAACGTGCAAAACTTACACGCATACAGGAAGTAGCGCAGCAGCGGTGGCAGAGCGCGGGTGCGGGTGCGGGAACGAGCGAAGCATCGTCATCGAGCGGGACTTGCGGCGCCAGCGAGACGTGTGCTGGGCTGTGCGAGCGCGTCAAGCTATCGCTGCTGTGCGCGCACATGGACGCCGGCGCCTGCCTGCCCAGCGGCGCCACGTGCGCACTCTCGCACACGCAGCGCTGCATCGGACGAGGTAAGTCATACCTCAATGCTAACTTACAGCGCTTCATTGGCTGCATCGATCGAGATTAGTCCTCCTCGCGCGCTCACATCTGCAGCGCTGTATCAGTTTTACCGATCTTGATAGGTTCGCTTCGTGCTGTCACACACGCTACTGCATCGGACGAGGTGACTGATGCCTCAATGCTATACTTACAGCGTTGCATCGGCTGCATCGATCTAAACTAATCCTTTTATGCCTCGCGCTCTCCCGCTTCTCCAGCGTTGTATCAACTTAACCGATCTAGATTAGCTCACTTCGTGCTTACACACGCAGCGTTTTATCTGACGATGGAAAAAATCTGGTAAAAATGCAGTCGCAATGCTGCATCGACCTAAATTAGTCTGCCTCGTGTTTTCACACATGCAGCACTGTATCGGACAAGAGGAGTAATCCGATAATATTGCAAGTGGACCGCCGCATCGGAGGCATCGATCTAAACCGGTCATTCTAGCACTTGTAACGCTATATCGACTCGATCGCTGTAATGGTCTTAATGTCCTACAGACCGAATTTCGATCCCAGCGACCAGTCTCAAAGGAGACGGAGTATATCTGGTCATCATCAACGTTATGTGCTATCACAATCAAGTTCAGTGATTTTACGGAGGGTTACACTCGTAACGCTGTATAAATCTATATTAGTTTTTTTCCACTCAGTGACACTTTTCGCACTGTGTTCCTAAAGTCAGTGTAATACAGGTTTGGATAGCGTCTTTCCACATCATTTGTATTAAAGATTAAGGCCGAATACGACGCGAATGACCTTGCTCGTTTCGCAGCAAACCACGCGTCGCCAGTACCTACGCTTTGTTTATATAGATATGTATAATACCTATAATCAAAGCCGTACGGGCTTTGATTATATTATATTTGACTGAGCTCACTATGCAGAGTAATGAACAACACAGAGAGCATTGCTTACTTCTTAAATAAATTTTTCTTATTTATAATATTAGTTCCTATAGATTATAAATTCTGTACTTTATTTGTTATAAAATATTGTTCGAAAAGTTATTCAATTGATAACGATTTTTTTTCTTAATTGGTGCATCGTACGTAAAGAACCTCATATAACTGAAAATGTTTGTTCTTGTGAGTCTTACAAGATGCCGTAATGCACATTGCATAAATAATAAAGAAAAAAAACTAAAAAGTCGGTGATTGACCCATAGTGGGGATAGGTACTGTGTATGTAAATTCTAAGAAGACTACTCCGACTGGTCAATCACTTCACATCCGAAGTATTTCGGTTTTTCTTAATTATGTACTTACCCCATGCTTTCGGACAATACATTGACTATGACATTATTTGCGGTCTCTGTGCTTGGACTACTCTGTACATTCTTTACCGACTGGGTCTTGATATTTACATATTTAGTGTTTTTCACTTGAAACTAGAAAAGTATAAATGATCAGTTTGGCTAATGTAAATGAGTAAAAATGCAACCTATTAGGCAGCCTCAAACAAATAATTACCTTACAAAAATATAAGTATTAACCTCAAAATACAACATTCGAGCAGCGTTCATGCTATAAACTCTCTTTGTTTTACCACTTAGGTAACATTTATTTCTTTTCCTACTCATATTTACATTTATAGTCACGATTTTCGTTACAGGCACATCGACTGTTGTTACCTTACGTCACACGTCGAAGCGCCTGGTAATTTATTACGGCAAACTTTTATCTGGCAATATACGATATTATTATTAGGTGTTTTTAATTAAAACGAATTATGTTAATAAATAATATTTTGTATCGAAAATAAAGATAGCAGGTACCTTCGGAATCACAATACGGACATTTTTATGTAAAAGAATTTTTCCTAAATTAAAATTCACAGAGTTTTGGAAGAACAATAATTTTATATATCATTTCTTAACATTTTTTTATTTGATGGTATATTCATTTATTTTAAAATTACGGTTACCTTATGAAGGACCCGAACAAACCTACAAAAATGTTTTAAAGCTTAGAATTACTTCAGGTCAAAGTTCTAGTCAAGAGAAATACATTAATTTTCGCCAGTTCTCTTCGTATTCGGCCTTAAATGCTGTCTTATTAACAACCCATTTTTCATGTCTGAGTCGAGCTTGATTTGACTAATGTGAAAGTTTGACGACTCTGTAACTTAGTGGAAAAACGGTAGGATCAATTCTCGCAAGTTATTGTACGTTGTTGTTTTGAAAGAGGTAAAAAAATAAAATCTTATGATATTGAAATGTTTTCAAAAAAATTAAGTGAGTAAGGAGGTATATTTGATGTACAGACAGCCGCGGCTGGACGGGATGGGCGCTAGAAGCGGTGTGGTGTGTGCACGAGTGCCTGGCCGACGCCTGCCTGGCTCCTGACGACCAGCGCGCCTCCCCGCGCCTGCACACGTACCTCGACGAAGAGCCCGCCACCGGATTGCCGCCCAGGTGACCATTCCACGCACGCAATCACGCACACACACGCACAGCAGCACGCACGCACCCACTAATGCTCACATGCGCGCACGCACGCACGCACACACGCAAACACGTGCACACACACGCAGCTTTACTTAATTGACTCGATCTTTAGATTATATTAGATATTTGGGGGGATGAGTCGCTCGCGTCCGTAGGCTTCGACCACCTAACCTTAGGCCCACCCTACACGTGTCCCCCGGGTGGTGCTAAACGAGCGACAAAGCCGAAAAAACAGACTCGGCTCCTCGCCGTATGGTAGCGGCGTAAAATCTACCACCACCCCTTGTTCGCACCATGACTCAGAAAATAAAAGAAATGGCCCCGAGTTCCCGGCGCCCCTTAAATGGGGCAGGGATGCGAAGAATCTCCGGGAGAAAAACCGGCGACGAGGTTCGCCACCCGTCACGTTCTGTCTCCCGGAGGGGCGGAAAAGTGGATTGCGGAAACCCGTCTGGCTACGCTGAATGTATGTGGAGGAATGAATGATAAGATGGATGAAGTATGCGAAATGATGAATGACAGAGGAATAGATGTGTTATGTGTGAATGAGACGAAACGAAAGGGAAAGGATGCCACTGCACATGGCACATATACCGCGTATTGGTCTGGTGTAGGCGAGACCGAACGGGCATGCCAGGGAGTCGGTTTCATCCTTACAGAAAGAATGGGTCAATGTGTGAAAGAGTATGAATGTGTAAGCCCGAGACTGCTATGGATACGAATGAAAGTGGGCTTAAAGAAGCTGTTCCTGCTAGGGGTGTACGCCCCAGACATGTCTAAGCCCACTTACATCCGAGAGCAGTTTTGGGACATGGTAAGGATGGTGTTGACAAAATGTAAGGAAAATGAAAATAATGGTTATACTGGTTATGAAAGGATATTGGGAACGTTTGGTGATGAAAGTATAAATGAGAATGGTGAAGACCTCCTCACGTGCGGAATGTATGTGCGGAAAATAATCTTTTTGTTACGAATCTTTTTTTTCGTCATAAGAAGATTCACATGTATACATGGGAAAGAGGTGATGATAGAAGCATGATAGATTTCGTAATTGTGGATGAAAGAATGAGGAGCGCAGTCGTAGATACAAGGGTTTACCGGGGGTCTAACGTAGGGACGGATCATTACTTGGTCTTATGTCGAATTAATGGTCTTTTCAAGCGTTGGCGGCATCGGACATCTGTGTCTACCACTGCGTTACAGCGTATAAGAATAGAGAAGTTACAAGATGAAGATGTGAAAGAGAAGTATAAATGTAGACTGAGAGAAAATATTAGATGTTTGAATGAGTTGTGTATGAATGATTTAGACTTGAATACTGTGTGGGACAATATTAAGAAAGGTTTGGTGGATACCGCCACCGAAGTATGTGGTGTAAGTAAGAGAACAAATGAAAGGAAAAGTAATACGTTGTGGTGGGATGATGAGGTACGGGTGGAAGTTGAATCAAAGAAGAAAGCATGGTTAGATTTACTAGCAACCAAAGCTGGTAATTCTTCTGGTATGAATGATGAGATTGAAAGAAAAAAGGCAGAATTTAGACGTCTAAATAAGAGAGTAAAAGAAGTTGTTGAAAGGAAAAAGAAAGAAAGAACGGATAAGAATGATAGAAGGATATCTGATAATTTCCAGGCTAACATAAAAATGTTCTGGAAACTCGTAAGAACTGCCAGGGGAAATACAAAACAGACTATAATAAATGCTATAAGAGACGAGAATGGATGTATTCTAAATGATGAAGTTTGGAATTTAAACAGATGGAAGGAATACTTTGAAAGCGTGTTTATGAGTGAAGAGTCATCTGAATCGAATGAACTAGAAATTCCGAAAGAAGTGGAAAGGGGTATGGAGATAAGTGTAGATGAAATAATGAAAGCAATGAAAAGCATGAAAGCAGGTAAGGCAGCTGGATATGATAGAGTATCACTCGAGATGCTGAGGGCTGGAGAGGGAGTGGTGGCAGGCCTGCTGTACACCTTGTTTAATTTATGTTGGGAATTAAAACGGGTATCGGATGACTGGTGTAAAGCAGTTATAGTACCAATATATAAAGGAAAAGGGTCACAGCAGGATTGCAAAAACTACCGCGGTATTAGCTTGCTTAGTATTGTGGGTAAACTGTATGCTAAGGTGTTAATTGAAAGAGTTATGAAAGAAACTGATGGAAAAATTTGGGATGTGCAAGCGGGTTTTAGAAAGGGAATGGGGTGTACAGATCAAGTCTTTTCCATGCGCATGATTGCGGAGAAGTTTTTGGCCAAAAACCAGAAAGTTTTTTGTGCGTTCATGGACTTAGAAAAGGCTTATGACAGAGTGGACAGAAATGTGTTATGGCAAACACTGAACTCATATGGGTTGAGCGCTGTTTTGATACAGGCATTAAGGTCTCTTTATAGGGACTCTAGTGCTTGTGTCAGGATCAATGGGGTCTACTCGGACTGGTTTGGCATCCAAAAAGATGTCAGACAGGGCTGTGTAGCTTCCCCTTGGCTGTTCAACCTATTTATGGACCGGTGCTTGCAAACTTTGAAAGATGAAGAATGTGGGTTAAGAATGGGCGAGTTAACCGTCAAATGCCTTCTGTATGCCGATGATCAAGTCATATTTGCGTCATCGGCGGCTGAGTTGCAAATGATGGTTACATTAATGAACTGGGAATTAAAAGAAAGGGGAATGAAAGTGAACGCATGTAAGACGAAAGTGATGGATTTTGAAAGAGAAGAAAGCAAAACGGTATGTGAAATAAGAATAGAAGGAGAGTTAATTGAGCAAGTGGATGAGTTTGTGTATTTGGGATGTGTATTTAGCAGGGATGGTAGATATGAGGGTAAATGCAGGGAATAGAGTGAATGGGGCACTGCACTCTATTATGAAGAACCAGAATGTGTCAAAACAGGCACGTATGGTAATTCATAATGCTGTGTTAGTCCCTACTTTAATGTATGGTAGTGAAAGCTGGGTGTAGCGGAAGAAGCACGAAAGTAGAATAAATGCTGTAGAAATGCGGTCTTTAAGGAATATGTTAGGGTTGAATCTGAATGACAGGGTGAGAAATTGCGTGATAAGAGATAAATGTGGTATGCAAGATGATGTTGTGACCAGGATTAAGAAAGGAATGCTTCGGTGGTTTGGTCACGTAGAAAGAATGAATGAGGAAAGAGTGACAAAGCAAATTTATATGGCAGATGTGAACGGCCGAGTCGGGAAGGGACGCCCTAGAAAAAAGTTTATCGACCAAATTGGCGATATTTTGAAAATGGGCCACGTTAGAAGTACCCTTAACCGACGAGCATGTATGCGTAGATATATGGATGTAAAGGAGGCGAAAGAGGTATGTCAGGATCGTGCCAAATGGAAGTCCGTAGTCTCTGCCTACCCCTCTGGGTGACAGGCGTGAGTGTTTATGTATGTATGTATTAGATATTTGTTATGAGTAAGTACACTAATAGCACATTTATTCCATTTCAACAAACTATGATTTCAATCCCACACAATTTCTATAAAGTTTCATTTTAACAGTTTGTTAAATGTATTTTGATAGATATTTGCGTCAACTACCGTCTTCTTCGTCATCATCTGATCATTATTATCATTACAGCCCTTTAACAAATTTACTACTAAACATAAGCCTAACCCGAGTAATGCCACAAAGTCCTGAACCTCCTGCATCCACCGACTTCCTACATGTCTTGCTAGGTCGTCACTCCATCATCATCATTCGTCATCATTCTTAATGATTACTAAAAACGCTGAAACTTTTGAGTTAAAAAACAGTAATGTTTTTATATGGTCATTCCTGCCATATAAAGTATCAGTTTAGTTCCCATATTTTTGTTCTGTCTGTTAGTTTTAAAATCAATTTTACCAAACAGGAAAACACTTGCGTCACTCAGAAGTATGTCTCAAAATTGTGAAATTTTATTCATATAAAAATAATATACAGTAATTAATTATTTTATCTATTCAACTAATTCAATACAACATACATACGATAGTTACATACATACTATGTAACTATTTTGTCATTAATTTTAAATTTAATGAACACTTGGAAAGTGTTTATTTTTTAAAATCAATTCTCATCCATCTCAATCCCTTGGAACACAGCCTCTGAGTGTTATTTAATAAAATAAAATGTTGTTTAATTTTATTTCAGGTACCAACATGTGCCTGTGGCAGGTAGCAAGAACCCTGAAGAAACATACCTGGCCTTAGCTTTAGAAGCAGCATTGTTGGGTTTAGGCATGCAACGAATGCTTCCTAGTGGACTGTACGCACAGGAACGATATTGCAAACAGGTAAATTAAATAGTATTAAATGTAAATTACCTTCTTTTTTTAATATAAAGAATCGCAATCCTCAGAGATGACAAAGCATCTGTCTGTGACACACAACATCTACTTAACATCACACTGCCTTGTCACCATAACTTCTATAATAATGTAATCTTATTGTAGCAGCATAAGGTTGAAAATGTTTGAATGGTGATTGTGTGTGTATTGTATGTATAAAACTGATGTCATACATTGTAATAAGAACTTCTGATTGATATGATGACAATATTGGATGAATTTATAAACTTGATAAAGATATGAGTAATTTTATAAGTAAGATAATTACCATATCATCCAGTATATTCCTGATAAAATTTCTAATAAATTTGTAAAAACTCACGGCCTATATAATATGCCCTACTGCTCTGCAAAGGTCTCCTCTCACACCTGAGACGATTACACATCGCGACCTGAATTTATTTTATTCCTTAGACATGCATGTTTTCTCACGATATTTTCCTTCGTCGCTAAGCACATGTTAAATCGCTACCGCCATCGCTCGACCGTCGCTAATTTTTTACCCGCAGCCTTCGAGTCAAGTTGCAGCTATATTATGGCACGAGTGGGTCGGCTTGACCAAGATCGGGAAAGATCACAGTTACAGAAATCGAATCGAACGAATCGAAGAACATCAGCCTGAAATTTCAGCTTAATGCTACTGTGTTTCGAAGGTATTTGAAAAGGTGAGAGTAGAGAACCGAAGACCCTTTTTATTGGAAATGTGACATAACACCTTAGTTTTCATAGTAGATAACGCATCTGCAATTTGATTCTTAATCGACGATAGATGGAGATGGCTATGGGCCCCAGCATCCACTTGTCATCAGGTGGGCTATGTGCACGTCCGTCATCTTTATTCTATAAACAGAGTAATATATAATATGTACTACGTACTAGAAGAGACGCCCAGACTTGTGGTTTGCAATGTGCGTTAGAGCTCACGGACTAAAACTTACTTGGTCTGTGCCATGAAATGCTGCTGCCACGCAGGTTTTGTTCGCGTTGTCTGTTCTGGTAACAATGCCTTTCAGACCTAATTTCGGTCACGGCGGCCTGCCTCAATGTAGTTTTACTATTTGCGAAATACAGGATTATAGTGTCCAAGTGTATGCGATAGGACAGTAATCCGACAGGACCGGAGAGAGATTAGGCGCGGGGCCTACGGCTTTACGTGCTTTTCGAGGTACGGGAATGAGACACCGCCAACTTCCTGACTCCGGGCAGTTACTGCGAATTTCTTGACAGAAAAACACAATAACTGATTTTGGTCCGACTCAGAACTCGAAACTAGGAACTCATGATCAACAACCATGTTTACGACTACTACACTAACGAGGCATTATTGTATCTGAAAGTTCAAGTACAAACGGTGGCCATATCGTTTGAAGCGATATATATGTACTTGAGAAACCGAACACGAAGTGATATTTGATTGATAGGTGCATCATGCAATATGGAGTAAATTAAAAAAAAATAGTTGAAAAAAATTAGTGTGGTACGTGTGCCGGTGTAAGAATATCCAGTAGCCTGTATAGTCCCGAGGATGTCGTTAGAGGCGACTGAGGGAAAATGAATCGGGAGATTGGCAGCAGTGTGTTCCTCCTAACAAGGTAAAATAATGAAAAACTGCTGTTAATCCAATTTTGAAATGCAGCAACTATGACAAATATCCCCCATGTAGCAATCTATCAGGGAGGTCTATATTCAGCAATGGACTTAAAAAAAGACTTTTTTTATGGAATAAGGGTGATAAAGGAGGCCCTGAGTCCACCTGATGGTTAATGGATGCTGTAATCCATAGATATCTATGCCTTTCCCCGATTAAGAATCAAAATGCAGATGCGTCGTTTCCATTGATGACTAAGATGCTTCGCTTCCAGTAAAAAGGGGTCTGAGTGTAGAGAACACTCAGCATACGAAGCAGCAGCATTAAGCTGCTTTTTAACGTTCGGCTGTGTTGGTAACGAGCGTGGTGCGGTGTGGTGCAGGAGGAGCGGCTGATCTCCGCGCTGCAGCGCGTGGAGGGCGAGGCGGTGGCGGGCGTGTGCGCGCGCGTGGCGGCCGCGCTGCTGGCGGGCGGGCCGGCCTCGTGCCTGGGCGCGCGCGTGCATCCGCGCTCGGCGCCCGCGCACACCTTCGCGCGCTACCTCTTCCTCGCGCTGCTGCCCAACGACCCAGACCTCGCCTACCGCGTGGGGCTGCGCGCCATGAGGTACGTTGTGGTGCAGGAGGAGCGTAACGTCAGCGCGCTGCTGGCGGGGGCGGGCTGGCCTCGTGCTTGAGCGCGCGCGTGCACCTTCGTGCGCTACCTCTTCCTCGCACTGCTGCCCAACGACCCAGACCTCGCCTACCGCGTGGGGCTGCGCGCCATGAGGTACGTTGGGGTGCAGAAGGAGCGTAACGTCGGCGCGCTGCTGGCGGGCGGGCCGGCCTCGTGCCTGAGCGCGCGCGTGCACCTTCGCGCGCTACCTCTTCCTCGCGCTACTGCCCAACGACTACGTTGTGATGCAGGAGCAGCGCCCACCGAAAAAAAGCAATGAGAGCAAATAGTTCAAATATACCCAATACTTTCGTTTTAAGTGTGAATAAAAAAATCATTTTTCTCTTTAATATTTTCGCTTTTTTAACTCAATTTACTTTGATTAGGAGTATCTAAATAATTTCTAATCAATGAATATATATAACATAAAGAAGCGTAACCCTTACATTTTCTGATAATTTATTATTACCTCACCCACCCTTAGATACTTTTTCTGTCGTTCAGAAAAGCCCTTTATATCTATTCTTTTTTATTTTATATAATTAGGTTAAATCATATTATACTCGTGCAGCCTCGGTGGAAAAACGTTACAAGAAAACGTGATTTTTTTTTAAATACCGTACTAATTTACTTATGTACATCGATAAAGAAGTTTGACTTGAATATTTGTCATGTGCAGGCTACCGATGGTGGAGGAGGCGTACGCGCTGGACGCGGGCGGCTCGGGCTGTGGTGCAGCGTGCGGGGCGGGCGCCTGGCACACGCTGCAGCATGCCGAGCAGCAGCAGGCCGCGCTCGCCAGCGCTCTACTCGGTACTGCCTTTCTCTCTCTCTCTCTCTCTCTCTCTCTCTCTGTCTCTCTCTCTCTCTCACACACACACATGCTATTTTCACCTTCTTTCTTATTTTTGCCTCGCTTTTGTATTGCATCAGCGATGTTCGGACATGCACGAACAGATGACTTTCTCGCAATAACGCGTAAAATAGTGTACTCCCTGTTGAACAAAATACGTGGCGGCCGTAACAGTATTCTGAACATCTTCGCCGATCGACATGACGGGCATATATTGAGTCACTGGGATGGTGTATTAAAGTGTTCAAACATATTTAAGGTGGATGCGTCGACCGTCCGCCTATACATTTTTTAACCAAAATATACACTAAACACAGACACTCTTTCTTTAAAACTAATCATTTTATCACTTCTCTACAATGAAATGTGTACGCCTCTGACCTTTATAGGCAATAACTTACATTATATACCGAGAAAAACGATAGTGAAATCCCGGAAAAATTTGACACTTCTTTAGTAGTGTGCGTGACTTTTGACAAGCAAACGAAAGGCGACGTTTAAACATTGGCACGCTAGATGGCATCCAAGTGATCTTAAATAATTCTGATAAATCAATATCTTAAGTTCAATAATTGGTTAATTTTCTTTCCAACCGTTAAAAAAACAGTATAAAATAACATAAAATAATGACGTTAGACACCTATGTTTTTTTGTAAACAATTTTATTACTTATTATCGTTGTGTGGCATACCAAAAGTCGTAGGTAAAGCGACGTTGCCGTCCTTCCTGACAACAAACTGCCGTAGACAGAGAAGTCTACGGTACTAACGTATCCCTGACCTTGAATTGACGAAACAAAAGCGTTGCCAAACTTACGTACGTTCATTTGTTTCACTTGTATAACGCATTGACTCGGCTACCGATCTAATCAGATCATACAATACCTACCTTACGTCGGCTCTGGTACGGGTCGAATTAGATCAGGTCGGATCAGAAGTACTGTCTTATGAAAAAACTATTTTTTCCTCTAAAACAAAACCAAAGACAATATGCAATAGATAATAGTATCAAAGACAAAGATATGCTCTTTTATTTTAAACCATAACCTGGCAATGTTTCTTAGAAAAAAAAAAAGAAATCACTCTGAACTTTCGGCGTTCCACGTGTCGTTTTGATGAAGGTGCTCCGTCTTTTTTATAGAATTTTATATTTGTGTCTGGACTAAAAACGAAAGTTTTATACTTTTTTATATTCCTTGTAATATAGTGAACACGTAGATATATAATTTGTGGTATAAAAAGTGAAAAGTAAATTGCCAAAAGTACTTCAAAATCTGGAAGACCCATTTTGGCGGTTGGGTCATAAATGTGTTATTTTTCAAATTCTCATTTATTTTTAGTGTAAAATGTAAGTAAAAATAGTTTTCTTACATATTTCAAATAACTTGACGTTGTATTTATTTCAAATTCACACATAATTATTTTTGAAATATTGTTCTAAATGTCACACAGATAAAATATTATTATTGTTTTTTTTTAATTTTTTAATATTTTAATATTTTGGTATGAGTAACGAATGGAAACATATAAAACATAAAAATATACATATTTCCAAACATTTTCATATAAATTTCTCCAAAAACAAAAGTGTAGAATTCAAATTAGTAGTAATTTTGTCACTAAAATTGAAGTATATGCTACTACTATGCTATACAGGGTAATTTATGTATTTTATTACAATTTCTAGCAACCAAAAATAATTTTATTCGATAGTTTATACATTCAACAAGAAATCCTGTAAGTTTTATCCATAAATATTGTCTTAAAGTGAAAATATAGCAAAATTTGCAATATAGCAAACAATTTTCTAACTTACAAATTTTCCCGCCATTAAGGTCCTGAGCGAACGGGAGTATAACATGTCGCGCGCTGTCAGAGCCACGGGGATAAAATATATTCTGATTTCGGTTGTCAGGCGCTATGATTTGCGCGCGGAATTTCTTGTGTATTATACATATTTTGTATGTATGTTTTCATTGATTCGAATTGCAATATTTCTCTAGTATATATTTGAGACTATATTGTAATTTATCGTAGGTATAGTAATTAATTATTTTAAAAACGCAATTATGTTTTCGATAGTATTATTAACTGACCCGTATTATTGGCTGGCCCGTGATTTTTCTGAAATATCGTCACAATACTGATTACCTACGTCATACGTGTCCGTGTGACGTAGGTAATCATTTTTGGTCAACAATAAATACAGTTATTATAAATCGGTAAACTACCAAAGTAGTCACAAAATTAAACTTGCAAACATTTGCAAAATATGGTTTTGCCGGGTTACATTAAACACCCTTAACGCATTTTGCAAACAGTTTCAGACAGACACACATTATTAGTTTGTTATATTTTGTAGAGCTCAAGTTCACTCGTCACTACGTCACACCTGATGATGCGTTCAGAAACAAATATAATTCAGTTACATAAAATCCTTTTTTTTGTTCCGTGCTTTATTGTTTATAAATAAATAGCTTATTCTAATCTGAGTTATATTTTTCCTATTCGTCGGCCAATTCTACCAGGAATATAAAGATAACATTGAAATAAAAAGATAAGTAAATTTTTGTACATTTTAGTGTTCTAGATCTTGTGTTCTAAACGCAACCCTATTCATATAGGATTGAAGGAAGATTTGTATATGTTATTTGTTATAATACCTGGATGACCGAGCATTTCTCAGTATTTTTTTTTTTTTTTTGGAAATCGTGTGTTTTGGAAGTTATATTTAGATTAAAAATACATACTGATAAAATATGAAGAATATTTTTTGATCTTACTGACATAATAGAAAAAAACTGAACTGGTTATTAAAATGAAAAATCATGAGTGCAATAAAATTTTCGTATTTTTAAAAAATACTACAAAAAGGGCTCGAAATAATAGATTTTCTCACAAAAGAAGGGAACTTGATAAAAAAGGGAAAAAAGTCAATCCTACTACAAGACGCGAACCATGGAACTACGATTACGCGACAGTGCGTTATCCACTTAAGCTATTACGACCATTATTATAGTGTTAAATTTACCTTCTTATATTGTAGCAGTTTTTCATTGCCTGAAAACGGGGATAAAACGACATTTTATGAAAATCGTTGGAGCCGTTTCCGAGATTTCCGATTATATATATACAAGAATTGCTCGTAGGTATAGGATTTATATTTTTGTTTTACTAAAAGCTTTTGTTGAATGCTTCGAAATTAGAAATATTATTTTCAAACTTCCTGGTTATTATCACAAAGTAAATCGTGTTATAGATTTGTTGTTATCTCTTGTTTGTGAATTATAGTTTCTTACGTGTTGGTTATGAAATGTCTAATTATTGTAATAATTGGTACTGTTACAAATCATCAGTGTTATTAGTTTTGAGTGAATAGGCATGTATCAGTATAATTATGTTGCTTCAAATAGGTACTTCTGTTTTGATAAAAAATTCAATAGTGTAATGTAATAAAATAAAATTGCGTTATATTGTAATCAATGTTGACAATTTATTTCCCAAAGTTATAAATCAACATAAATAGTTTACGCCAACAAATATAAATTTTATTTTTATAACAATCGTACATAGCGTTTTGTAGTTCTGCCTATCCAATCTACACATACAGAAAAATTAAAACTTGTTTTTTTACATACACGCCATCTAGTGTTCTAGCTTCGTAAAGGTAGGGATACGTCTATGTGTGTGTAAACGACCCTATATTCAATGACAGATGTTATAATCAAAATTAATGTCGAATTGGGTTGATTTTGAGGCAATGACATGACCCATTCCAATAAAATGTAATATCCGATAACCGCTAAGTCTATTCCTACGACTTAATAATTTTCCAATTACACAAAACTCCAAAAAACTAAAAATGTTGACTTCAGCGCCATCTTGCGGGAGAATGGCTGGGAACAGTCCGTAGGTTTCACCTTAAGAAAGTAACATTATCTTATAACCGCGAGCACAGAGTTTTGTGAAACGAGGTTCGAAGGGAGAACCACGCTGCAGCTATATTATGGTTGTAAAACAAATGGGTCGGCTCGACCGCGAAAGACCAAACTCTCAGAGAATATCAGCGTAAAACAGCAGCTTAATACTGCTGTGTTTCGTTAGGGGATTTTAGAGATTCGGAGACCCTTTTTACTGTAAACGAGGCATTCCATCTTAGTCCTCAGAGGGGACAACGCATCTATTTTGATTCTTAATCGAGGTTAAAGAATGTAGAGGGCTATGGCCCACAACATCCACTTACGATCAGGCGTACTGTGTGCTCGTTTGTGACCCTTATTATTTATAAAAGAAAAACAGAGCCGCCATGTCTTTAAAATTAGTGTTTTATAGAAAGACTTCTGTGAGTTTAGTATCTAGGCCGGTAATTCAAAACAAGAACTGTCACAGCTGCGAAATGCGTGGGCGCGGGTACGGGCGGGTAACTTGTACGGTAAATAAGCCACGCAGTTGTGTTTGATTGGCGATAGCTACTGCTTATATGCGTAAATACGAAATGACACGCTCATTTAAAATAAAGTTCACATTGACAAAGTGCCCGTTAAACAAAATCAGTTTTAGATAGGCGAAAACAACGTTCACTGTTTACAAAATAAAGAACAGTTTTCTCGCTCGTTCGCATTTCGCGTCGATTACAGAAGTTATTCAGATTTGGCCATAATTTTATGCGTAATATATTAGTACCGTATTGTCCTTTTAGTCTAATAGTATACATAGACGTCTTTTTTTCTCTTAATTGTGGCAAAAGGCCCTTTGACGACTGTGCTAGTTTCAAGTTAAAATATAGAAGACTGTACTATCCAATTTTTCGTCAGTAATGACGACATTCTCGACTTTTCCGTTACCAAGTGCGCCACTTAAGAATGAGGTGAACTATTTGACAGATTTCTTGGCGGGGAAGTTACTTTGTTAGAAAAATCTAAGGGTTATGTTTCTGTGTGTAATATTAGTTACATTTTATATTAATTACATTAGAAATTAATAAACCAAACTATGGATATTCCTAAAAGTAGTTAAGTTAAAAAAGAGTTAAAATGTGTAAAAAATAAAAGAGTAAGCTAGTGAGGAATTATTTTGTGTATTTACATAATGCTATAAATCCGATATACTTAATTTTAAGCGCAACTTCTCAATTATATGAGATTGTATAGCAAAAAACTTCACCTCAGTTCAACTAGCGACATCTAGTAGATGAACGATTACGCTACCGTTACAGCCTGTTTAAGTTTACTGCTGAATATAGGCCTACCCCATAAATTACTTTATAGGGGGATATTTGCCATAGCATGCATGGGAAGCGGGTTGGCAACCGCAGCTTTTATTATTTTTAGTCGTTAGAAGACGCTGCCGCGCACTCCATTGGATGATATGAGGTAGTGGATATTTTTTCACCGCCGCTACACGGAAGATTCTTAGCTCTCATGTACTATAAATTACTATAAAAGCGTGTTTGAATTTTTCTGGCAGGCGCTGCGCGAGGCACGCCGGCGCGGCTGCGCGCGGCGTTGGCAGCGGCGCAGCGGCACGTGCGCTCGGCCGCGCAGCTGTTCCGCCTGGCGCAGGACGCGCTGCGCCACGCCGCGCCGCCCGACGCGCCGCACCACCACCGCGACCTGCTCGCCGCTGCTTTCGAGCTGGGCCTGCAGGTGCGCACTGCACACGCACCACGCACACAGTCACCGTACACACCCACACATACACACCCGCACACACACACACACGCACACACACACACACATAACACACACACACACACACACACACACACACACCCACACACACACCACACACACACACACACCCATACACACACACACACACACACACACACACACACACACACACACACACACACACACACACACACACACACACACACACACACACACACACACACACACACACACACACACACCCACACACACCCACACACACACACACGCCCGCACACACACACACACACACGCGCACACACACACACACACACACACACACACACACACACACACACACACACACACACACACACACACACACACACACACACACACACACACACACGCACGCACGCACACACACGCACACACACACACACACACACACATGCGCGCGTGCTACCACCGCGTCCTAATCGCTGATGCCTTAGAGCAAGCAGACACGAACACGCACGCACATATATGCACGTACACAAACACACGCACACAGACAGGCATCGTATTAACACCGCGTCACAAACGCGCTAAAACACACGTCCAATAACATGGCAACGGGCAATAAGTCCGATCGCGGAACTACTATTCCTGTGCCCATATGATTATACTTTATAAAGTAAAATTTTTTTTTTTTTTTCATTTATTTTGGGTCGACAAACAGTTTCACAATAAGAAGTTTAAAATAATAAATACACATCACAATAAAAAATAAAGTTGTTTATGCTACTACAAAATAGCTTACCCTATATCTCAGATTTGTTATCCTATAAATTATTTTCTTACCAATAAACATTTTATCAAACACTTCTTTGCAGGTACTGCGCATGACGCTGTCTTCTGTGAATTGGCGGCGGCGTGAAATGGTTCGCTGGCTAGTCACGTGTGCTACGGAGCTGGGCCTCGACGCCTTGCTCTCTATCATGCAGAACTGGTGAGCAATTGATGTTTAATAAAATACAAACAATTTTGTTTATAAATTTCGGGCACCTCGAACGTATGTTCTTAAATCCGAACATGGATTACAAAACAAATTACCTTACGAAGTTCAGTTAATAGATCTTTGTGGTGGCGGCATAAGCGAAACCATCATTTCAATACAGGATATAAAAGTTCTAAGTCCTAGCCAGCGTCGCGATGGGCAGATGAGTAAAGCAATATTTGAAGAGTTAAATAAGTTGCGTGTTGTTGCAGGTACGAGTTGTTCACGCCGACGGAGGCGACGGGCCCGGTGGCGGCGGCCGCCATGTCGCACGCCACGGCGCTGCGCCTCGGCCTCAGCTTCGAGCAGCAGGAGAAGCTCAGCGCCTGTGCGCGTACGCTGGCGCTGCAGTGCGCCGCCAAGGTACACGCTGCTTGTGACTTACCCCCCGCGGGCTTACATGTTCAAAAATTTTCATTGAAAGAAAGAAAGAAAATATTTCGCCACGTAAGCACAACGCCATAGATTGTAAAAAATAATTGCACATATTCACAACGCCATATATTTTTTTAAATTTTTATTTAACAAAAAGGCTGTATATTGCATAATTTCATGATGAACTGCAAACAACAGCGATGTTTTTAGACGCGCATAATTTGGTGTGGCGAATCACAGACGTTGTTTTTTAGTATGACTCGTTTTGTCTCTTTTGAGTAGTTCGAGCAGTGGTCTATCTTAATAAACTTTAAATAAATCTTAACAGTGCTCGTGGCGACATTTACCTCGTATAAAGTCGGCTGCGCTGCAATTAATTAAGGCAGCACCGATAGTAGTTTGGTTCGATCGAGGAGAAAACGCATTCGGAAATAACAATGACAATCACACACCTTAGTTTAACTTTAGAGTTGATACAGCTTTTGTGTCTAATTCTAATAATTGAGAATAGATAGAAGAGACAGGTAGTGGTCTATAAACCGTGGCACACACAGTAAGGTTGATTGGTAGCGCAGTTCAAATTTTGTTTGAAAGCTTGTAATAGAAATAGATTTTTTTTAAAATTTAATATAGATTATAAATAATTCTTATTGCAAGTAATTTTTATTTTCAATTTACAGCTGGTTTGGAAAATACTTCTATCCAAAGAAGAAACAGTGAGACATTTAAAAAAAAAGAAGAAAATTTTACGATTATTGTAATTAATATAGACAAGAAGCAGAAAGGGCCTATAACTAAGCCCTGAGGCAAACCCATTAATACTATCGATAAGAAAGAACTATCCCCGCTATTAACATCTTTTCACGTTCGGTTACTTCAAAATACAATAATAAGTTTAAAGCTACGGCCACACTACTTTACCGTCTACCGCCTGTTTACTGTAATAGTTATGGCATTAAATTGCCTAAAGCACCGCGTGAAGTAGTGTGGTTCCACTGAAATCAATCTCTTACCTAGATATAACAATGAACTAGGCAAAAAAATCTTAATGTCACACACTGAACAAACTATGGAGGTTAAAGAACAGGAGAACGATCGCTACGTACTAAAGCATAGCCCGCCTGTCCTTGAAAATTGTAGAATTTATAGCGGCGCTAACGTCGTTGAGTAGTGACTGCGAAATTAGCTGTTTATGAGTACAAGTAGATGAAGTTAATTGAATAATGTATAAATTTTCTTCACGGCATTGGTGAGAAAATTTTCATGCTCCGTAATTTTGTGATTTTTGACAAAAAGAAACATTAAAAAATGGGGAAATATTTTATTGTGCGTCGTTGTGCAAGTGGTTTAGCATCTGATCGAAAAAATAGACTGAAAATGACTATTGAGCGAACTTAGCGACCGCAGTGCCTAACTTATGATGTCCATATTTCTGGGACACTATTTTCTACGGCGATCGTTCTCCTGTTCTCTAACCTCCATGGAACAAACTGTAGTGTGGGGCCACATGACGTAAAAATTACCGGTAATATGGCCGTAGCATAGGAGTATACTACTTACACCGTGGTGTTTTAGTTTCTTGATTGATGTTTCTGGTAAACATTCGAAGGTTTGAGATAGGTCACATGATACACGCCAAGCATCCTGTGAATTCTCTCATTCATCAAAAACATGTTTAATCAAATGAATACCAGAATCGGTTATGGAGTGGCCCCTTGTGAAACCAAATTGATTTTAATGAAATAAATTATTTACATTAATTTGTTTTTACATTTGATCAACAATTAGTTTTAAACTTTACTGACTATTGACAGTACCGCTATAAGTCTAAACTGTCAGAGTCAAATGTACTGTCAGCTTTAAATAAAGATACGTCGCATGTAAAGTTTAACTAGATCTACCAATTGAACGATAAATTGCGTGTGGAAAGTATGTTGAAGGCGTAACAATGAGCCGGTGGTTTTGGTATGGCAGGACCCGCCGGGGTGCGCGCTGAGCGCGCTGTCGGTGTGCGAGGGCTCGGCCGGCGCTTTCGAGGCGGCGTGCGCGGCCGTGGGTGGTGCGGCGGCCCGTGGCGCGCTCGCCTCCGGCCAGCTGTTCGCCGTGGCGCGCTACATGGAGCAGCGCGGCCAGCCCGCGCGCGCCATGCGCCTCGCCACGCTCGCCATGCGCAACCTGCACCTGCACTACAACCAGGTGCGTGCAGCCCGCCTCCAGCCAGCTGTTCGCCGTGGCGCGCTACATGGAGCAGCGCGGCCAGCCCGCGCGCGCCATGCGCCTCGCCACGCTCGCCATGCGCAACCTGCACCTGCACTACAACCAGGTGCGTGCAGCCCGCCTCCAGCCAGCTGTTCGCCGTGGCGCGCTACATGGAGCAGCGCGGAGAGCCCGCGCGCGCCATGCGCCTCGCCACGCTCGCCGTGCGCAACCTGCACCTGCACTACAACCAGGTGCGTGCAGCCCACGGCCCGTAGCCCGCAGCCCGCCCGCCTCCGGCCAGCTGTTCGCCGTTGCGCGCTACATGGAGCAGCGCGGAGAGCCCGCGCGCGCCATGCGCCTCGCCACGCTCGCCATGCGCAACCTGCACCTGCACTACAACCAGGTGCGTGCAGCCCACGGCCCGTAGGCCGCAGCCGGCCGCCTCCGGCCAGCTGTTCGCCGTTGCACGCTACATGGAGCAGCGCGGAGAGCCCGCGCGCGCCATGCGCCTCGCCACGCTCGCCATGCGCAACCTGCACCTGCACTACAACCAGGTGCGTGCAGCCCACGGCCCGTAGCCCGCAGCCCGCCCGCCTTCGGCCAGCTGTTCGCCGTGGCGCGCTACATGGAGCAGCGCGGCCAGCCCGCGCGCGCCATGCGCCTCGCCACTCTCGCCGTGTGCAACCTGCACCTGCACTTCAACCAGGTGCGCGCAGACCGCGGCCCGCAGCCCGCAGCCCGCCCGCCTCCAGCTAGCTGTTCGCCGTTGCGCGCTACATGGAGCAGCGCGGCCAGCCCGCGCGCGCCATTCGCTTCGCCACGCTCGCCATGCGCAACCTGCACCTGCACTACAACCAGGTGCGTGCAGCCACGGCCCGCAGGCCGCAGCCCGCCCGCCTCCGGCCAGCTGTTCGCCGTTGCGCGCTACATGGAGCAGCGCGGAGAGCCCGCGCGCGCCATGCGCCTCGCCACGCTCGCCATGCGCAACCTGCACCTGCACTACAACCAGGTGCGTGCAGCCCACGGCCCGTAGCCCGCAGCCCGCCCGCCTCCGGCAAGCTGTTCGCCGTTGCGCGCTACATGGAGCAGTGCGGAGAGCCCGCGCGCGCCATGCGCCTCGCCACGCTCGCCGTGCGCAACCTGCACCTGCACTTCAACCAGGTGCGTGCAGCCTGCGGCCCGCAGCCCTCCCGCCTTTAGCCAATTGTTCGCCATGGCGCGCTACATGGAGCAGCGCGGCCAGCCCGCACGCGCCATGAGCCTCGCCACGCTTGCCATGCGCAACCTGCACCTGCACTACAACCAGGTGCGTGCAGCCCGCAGGCCGCCCGCCTCCAGCCAGCTGTTCGCCGTAGCTCTAATTTTTCGTTACTGATGGTTGGCTGAAATATAAATGCCAGCTGCGAAACAGAAATTTTTTAACCACAAATCAAAAACAGTGGCAAATGTCATGAATAACAATGATATAAGTACTCGTTGCATTTTAAAAGGGCTTGTGTGTTCTTAAGTTGATTTAGAAAAAGTTCGACTTACATTTTTTTCTGGGATAGGATGACAAACTAGCACACAGTCCACCTGATGGTAAGTGGTTGCTGTGGCCCATAGACATCTACATCTATCCTCGATTACGAATCATAATGTAGATGCGTTGTTATCCGTGAGGACTTAGGTGGAATGCCTCGTTTCCAGTAAAAAGGGTCTCCGGTTCTCTAGACTCACCATACGAAACACAGCAGCATTAAGCTACTATTTCACGCTGGTATTCTGTGAGAGCGTGGTCCTTCCCCGGTCAAGCCGACCCATTCGTGCTACAACTATACTACTAATATAACTGCAGCATGGCTCTACCACGTATGAAATACATTATTAACACTCGAAATTCTCACAAGGAATGATGGTAACTTTCGAAAACTCACTATTGGGTAAGAGATATGAAGAGATAATAATAGTTGAAATAATACTAGTTTTCACGGAATTTATCGCGTATATTTAACTTTTTAAAAACCCGACGTTTCGAGATAGAGCTGATGTGAAGAATCGACGCTCCGGGAAGTCTGCAGTCTGTGAACACGTACAGGATCACCCCCGTCACTACATCAGATTTGATAGACCACAAATCCTCGCTAAAGAACACCGATTCCTTCCAAGGATGATTCGCGAGGCTATTGAAATCAATAAACATCCTAATTTCAATAGAGAAGATGGCTGGGTGCTACCATCTGCTTGGGGTCCTATAATAAATAAAATTAAATCCCAACCCAAGCATACAACTGCAAGACTCCGAGATACCATAAGTTCATACTGTGTAGATCGGAACAAAAGTTAAATTTTAATCTATGGTAACCGCGGTTAACTATGACATCTGGACGTTGAACATCTCAGTCCCCCCCCCGTGACCATGGGTGCTGTAAAGCTCTCGAAACGTCGGGTATTTAAAAAGTTAAATATACGCGATAAATTCGGTAAAAACTAGTATTATTTCAATGTGTAGTGTTCGCGTAAATATAAGAAATCATTGGATAATAATAGTGCTTGATTGCGATATATACGTGTACCAATTCGTTTGAATATTCGGCTTGCAGGACAGCCACCCGGCGATAGCGGACATCCACTGGGCCGTGGCGCTGGCGCACTCGCTGGGCCGCGCAGAATTACAAGCGATGCTGCCACTACTTGTTAAAAATGTTCAATGTGCACCAGTCTTGGTAAGTTTTCACCTTATTTCTCTGCACCAAATATTTGTTAATTGCAATTTTTGTCATACCAAGGCGGGACTATCGTAGTGTAGACAAGAATTCGTCATGGCAGACGAACCCAGCTCGTTTGCATCCAGGGCAGCATGACTGCACCAAAATACCACACGGTGGTAGTAGAGCATTTTACTGTCACACACAGGATCCAAATGGGCCGGGAATTTCTACTCATGCACGATAATGCTTCTTACCATACGGCGCGACTAGTGCCGGCCGCTCACTGAGACCACTATATTTAATTTTTGGATTGGCCTGCACGGCCGCCCGACTTTAGTCTTATCGAGCATGGTTGGGACATGTTACAAATAAAATCTTTGAGAGGTTTCTTAACAAATAACAACTTAACTAGCACTTGCAAAGAACATGGGGCCTTATACCGCAGCAAGACATTGACGATTTAACTTTAATTATAAACAATCGATGTCGACGTATAGTTAATGTAAGAGGTGGCAACACTGATTATTAATAATTAGGTTTTATAAGATTTTTTCAGTTTTAGTGAAAAATAATAGTTGTATAAGAAGAAATGAAGCTTTTTATGATACTAATTTTCTACACCGGTAAAAAAATGAACGATTTTATATAAAAGAAAAAAAAATTACGAAATGTTTTTTATTTTTTATTAAAGACCTTAAAATAACCTATCATTCTTCTATTTACTATATCAAAAAATGCTTCATAGATTTTCAGATATTTGATGAAATGTAAAATGTTCCTAGATTCTGTTGATGTGTTTATATAACGTCTAAAAATAGTAACTGTCGTTAATGGAAATACAACTGTGTGTCATGCGAGTATTTCCTGTGATAGTTACCTTTCTGGACGAGTCAACGCGGTTGACATAATTTTTTTCTTAAATTGCCGGATTAGTAGTAAATAAATACATAAGTTTTTACGAGAAATAGTTACGTATGTATGTATGTTTGTGTATTTGTGCGCGCATATTTACAGCTGTGACAGTGTTGTTCTGTCGGTTTAGTAGCTTTTTTTTATAGAATAAGGATAACAAACGTGCTCACAGTCCACCTGATGGTTACTGTTGTGGCCTCTTGAGAGAGATGCGTTGTCACTCTTGAGGACTAAGATGGAATGCTTCGTTTCCTGTAAGAGGGGTCTAGTTCTCTGCACTGACCATACGAAACACAGCAACATTTAGTTGTGTGTATTCTGTGAGCCGATCCATTCGTGCTACAGCACGGCCCACCACATATAAAACAGTATAGATACAGTGTTTGCAACAAGGCATTATATGAGCCGTGGTAGCTCAGATGGTTAGCGCTCGCTGTAAATTTCACAGTACGCAAGTAAACCGGGTTCGATCCCCGCCGGCACCAATGAAATTGTTAGCTGCAATTTTAGGTGCTGATTTACCACGTGCTCGGCGGTGAAGGAAAACATCGTGAGGAAACCTGCATGTCTGAGAAATAAGAAAAAAATATTTCGAAGACATGTGAAGTTCGCCAACACGCATTGAGGCAGCGCGGCGGAAAATTTCTTGCCCTCAAAACCCTCTCAGAAATGAGCCTTGCTCAGCAGTGGGACGTATATAGGCTGTAACTTTACTTTTATTATATGTGCAGTCGGACGTGCTGCGGCGCTGCTGCGTAGCGGCGGCGGGCTGCTCGCGCGCGCGGCCGGCGCCGCCGCGGCCGCCCACGCCGCTGCGGCCGCTGCTGGAGGCGGCGCTGCGCGCGTACGCCTCCACCACGCACGCGCGCCTCGCACACATCTCGCCGCGCCACTACGCAGACTTCGTCGACTTCCTCGGTAGCCTCGCACACCGACACTCATACGTGCTGCATACATCACAATAACTCACACACCGTTATACGTGTTGCAGACATCACAACAACTCGCTCACCGTTATACGTGTTGCAGCCATCACAACAACTCACACACCGTTATACGTGCTGCAGACATCACAACAACTCAGACACCGTTATACATGCTGCAGACATCACAACAACTCACACACCGTTATACGTGCTGCATACATCACAACAACTCATACACCGTTATACATGCCGCAGACATCACAACAACTCACACACCGTTATACGTGCTGCAGACATCACAACAACTCACACTTCGTCATACGTGCTGCAGACATCACAACAACTCACTCACTGTTATACGTGCTGCAGCCATTACAACAACTCACACACCGTTGTACATGCTGCAGACATCGCAATAACTCACACACCGTTATATGTGCTACAGACATCACAACAACTCACACACCATTATACATGCTACAGACATCACAACAACTCACACACCGTTATACGTGCTACAGACATCACAACAACTCACACACCATTATACATGCTACAGACATCACAACAACTCACACACCGTTATACCTGCTACAGACATCACAACCACTCACACACCGTTATACATGCTGCAGACATCACAACAACTCACACACCGTTATACATGCTGCAGACATCACAACAACTCACACACCGTTATACGTGCTACAGACATCACAACAACTCACACACCGTTATACATGCTGCAGACATCACAACAACTCACACACCGTTATACATGCTGCAGACATCACAACAACTCACACACCGTTATACGTGCTGCAGACATCACAACAACTCACACACCGTTATACATGCTGCAGACATCACAACAACTCACACACCGTTATACGTGCTACAGACATCACAACCACTCACACACCGTTATAAACATGCTGCAGACATCACAACAACTCACACACCGTTATACATGCTGCAGACATCACAACAACTCACACACCGTTATACATGCTGCAGACATCACAACCACTCACACACCGTTATAACATGCTGCAGACATCACAACAACTCACACACCGTTATACATGCTGCAGACATCACAACAACTCACACACCGTTATACATGCTGCAGACATCACAACCACTCACACACCGTTATAACATGCTGCAGACATCACAACAACTCACACACCGTTATACGTGCTGCAGACATCACAACAACTCACACACCGTTATACGTGCTGCAGACATCACAACAACTCACACACCGTTATACATGCTACAGACATCACAACCACTCACACACCGTTATACATGCTGCAGACATCACTACAACTCACACACCGTTATACATGCTGCAGACATCACAACAACTCACACACCGTTATACATGCTGCAGACATCACAACAACTCACACACCGTTATACATGCTGCAGACATCACTACAACTCACACACCGTTATACATGCTGCAGACATCACAACAACTCACACACCGTTATACATGCTACAGACATCACAACCACTCACACACCGTTATACATGCTGCAGACATCACAACAACTCACACACCGTTATAACATGCTACAGACATCACAACAACTCACACACCGTTATACATGCTGCAGACATCACAACAACTCCTACACCGTTATACGTGCTGCAGACATCACAACAACTCACACACCATTATACGTGCTACAGACATCACAACAACTCACACACCGTTATACGTGCTACAGACATCACAACAACTCACACACCGTTATACATGCTGCAGACATCACAACAACTCACACACCGTTATACGTGCTACAGACATCACAACAACTCACACACCGTTATACCTGCTGCAGACATCACAACAACTCACACACCGTTATACGTGCTGCAGACATCACAACAACTCACACACCGTTATACGTGTTGCAGACATCACAACAACTCACACACCGTTATACATGCTACAGACATCACAACAACTCACACACCGTTATACATGCTACAGACATCACAACAACTCACACACCGTTATACGTGCTGCAGACATCACAACAACTCACACACCGTTATACGTGCTGCAGACATCACAACAACTCACACACCGTTATAAATGCTACAGACATCACAACAACTCACACACCGTTATACATGCTGCAGACATCACAACAACTCACACACCGTTATACATGCTACAGACATCACAACAACTCACACACCGTTATACGTGCTGCAGACATCACAACCACTCACACACCGTTATACATGCTACAGACATCACAACAACTCACACACCGTTATACATGCTACAGACATCACAACAACTCACACACCATTATACGTGCTACAGACATCACAACAACTCACACACCGTTATACATGCTGCAGACATCACAACAACTCACACACCATTATACGTGCTGCAGACATCACAACAACTCACACACCGTTATACATGCTGCAGACATCACAACAACTCACACACCGTTATACGTGCTACAGACATCACAACAACTCACACACCGTTATACGTGCTACAGACATCACAACAACTCACACATCGTCATACGTGCTGCAGACATCACAACAACTCACACACCGTTATACGTACTACAGACATCACAACCACTCACACACCGTTATACATGCTACAGACATCACAACAACTCACACACCGTAATACATGCTACAGACATCACAACAACTCACACACCGTTATACATGCTACAGACATCACAACAACTCACACACCGTTATACATGCTGCAGACATCACAACAACTCACACACCGTTATACGTGCTACAGACATCACAACAACTCACACTTTGTCATACGTGCTGCAGACATCACTACAACTCACACACCGTTATACGTACTGCAGACATCACAACCACTCACACACCGTTATACATGCTGCAGACATCACAACAACTCACACACCGTTATACGTGCTGCAGACATCATAAAACTACAGACACAATGTCACCTTTGAGGACGAAGATAGAATATCTCATAGCCTGTAATTGTACCGGCTCTCTATAACCTTCAGACCGAAAGTCAGAAGTGCACGCACGGCCATTTAGCGGCAGAAACAGGTACGGTATGGGACGGTGGCAACCATTCAGATGCACTCCTTTATAGAAATGGAGTAGGAGTATCAGTATCGCTACAATCGGTCACTAATCCACTACTGAATATATGCCTCCAAAATATATTTCCATAACTTCCGGTTAAGGTCATTTACCACGTGCCCACCGGAGAAGGAAAACATCGTGAGGAAACCTGCATGTCTGAAAAATAAGGGAAAAAAAAAACACGCATTTCCCAATACGCATCGGGGTAGCGCGGTGGACATTTCCTTGTCCTAAAACCCTCTCAGAAATGACAGGAAGCCTGTGCCCAGCTGTGGGAGGTGTGGACCACCTGCATCCATCGACCGCATGCCTCATGAGGTCACCGCTCCATCTGATGGAAGTTCGTCCAACACTGTGCTTGCCAGTACTAGTCTACCACACATAAACCTTTTCGGCTCATAGGTTGTACTTCGAGCTATATGGCTGGTTCATTGCCACTTTATCCCTCTAATCTGATATGCTATGTCAATCACACTTTGCAGAGACAATATAATCATACAAAAGAATGCGATGGGATCATGTTTGAGCATTTAACACATCTTATAGCATTTAAATTTTATTAATTTACCTTTACTTTCATTTTTTTTACAATAACATATTTTCAAATTTACTCAAAATGAGACTGGGTCAGTTTTAAAAGTGGTAAAGATTTTCTTTATTAAATTTCATACGGTTTCGTTTGCAGGTAAAGCCCGTGACACATTCGCGCTGGCTCACGACGGGCCGCATCAATTCGCAGCGCTCCTCCAAGAGATCAAACTTAAATATAAAGGCAAAAAGAAACTAATGTTCCTCGTTAAAGAGAGATTTGGTTAATACAATGGTTAATACAACAACATGTAAAAAACATTTTGATTTTTGGAATTATGTGCAATAGTCCCTAAAATTCCGTTTTGTTTGATTCTTGTTTTTTTTTTGTTAACTTTGTGCAATAGGTAACGTATACAACAAGAAATTTTTGTTAAAACATTATCGAAATTTTTTGGTAGTTTTGGGCAAAAATAACAAAATTCACATAAATAATTACCTCATTGAACGCGTGAGCCTAATGTACCCGATGGGTGCGAAACCAGTCTATAGTATTATTATTTAACGTTTATAGTAATGCGTCTTGTGCGTCATCACTTGTAAGTAGACAACAATGTAATGATCTCAATGATTCCATTGTGTATATAAGCATAGGTTATGTAAATATAGATTAGTTGAATAATATTAAGTCTTAATTAGAGTAAAAATATTAAGTTTATTATAATATAGTTAGCATAATATGAAAGATATGCCCTCATTATAACTTGTAAAAATAGCATGTACGTATACTGTCTCCTATGGACGGTATTGTTTATATCAGTTATGTTGTATAACGGCTCTAATGAATAGTTATAGTTAATATTTAGTACGCCGATCGTATAGCGTCCAATAGCAGTGGAATCAAACATGATTGAAATGACACAACACCAAAGAAGTAAGTGTAAGTAATTCCAAAAGCGTTAAGCAATGCCATTTTTCTTTCAGTATTGTCGAGTATTCAGTTTCAGTAGCTCTTTTTCTTTAAGTTAGCATAATTTAATATTTTGTCTTTGTTATATTATGTTATGACATCATCATCAAGTTGAAGCCGCCTGAAGACAATATATATCTTACCGGTGGTAAGTCAGTGGCGCGCTACCCTTTTTTACTCAACCAGACTTCACCTTCAATGATAGAATAGAATAAATTTATTAACAAGAAGTGCATTTATAAAGATAGAAATGTTTAATATTTACGGATAATTGTGGTGACATTTGGATAGTGTTAAAAATACAGAATGAATTGATAAGGGATAGATTGTAAGTTGTAAAAGGTTTTGTACAATTCGAGTGTGACAGTCTAGGATTCAACTAAATATTTTCTTATTCTTACAAACACCTGTTTTCTTGCCATCAAATGAAAATGTTTAAAATAATAAACTCTTAATTTGCAGTTCTGGCATAGACATACCATTGACAATATTACATTAGTAAAAAAAATAATGATTAAAAACAAATTTAGCCACACAGATTGTTAATAGTGTAAATAAAGATAAAATTATTTGGATTGCTGAGAGATCATAGATAAACTTCCAATATATTCCTAATAAGTTTGTTTAGGATTTCTATCGAAGTGTAACGGACTACTGTGAGTCCGCAGCAATTTACTAAATTGGTAATGACTTAGATCATTTTGCTTTTGTATGTAAATTGGCGACATTATGCTATTTTCAGACTGAGTACTTTTACAGAATATAATATCAAATAATTAACTTAGAGAGTAATGTTAATGGATACATAAGCGCGTATGTTTCGCAATGTTCATAGATCATCTTAACACTTTGTCATACTTTCGTATAATTCTGTCTGAATTAGGCGTAAAATTTAACTTATAACTGGTTTATTTTTTTACAAAATATTATTTAAAAAGCAAATAAATATTTGATGTCAAGCAATAATTTTGTAGCCTTAGTCGGTCTAAAAGTGACTTAGTATTTTCGTGATGTTTATTTTTAAGTTTATATTCGACTCTTGTTTTCTGAAATCGCTTAAGCTACGACCTTTAGTTATTTATAGCGTAACGTGAAATGATTATGCTTGAATATTGTTAGTAAATACATAACAAAATAGAAAAGGTAATTCAAAATTATAAACTGTACTAGCGATCCACCCCGGCTTTGCACGGGGGTTTCAGGGTCCAAATTGTGAATCCAAACTATCCAGGGATAATAAATACACACAAAAAAATCATCAAAATTGATGTGTCGTTTTAACTAACAGACAGCAACTGAGTTTTATGTATAGAGATAATTCAAGTTAACTAAATAACTATTAGCGTCGTTAATTTTAGAAGACAAGAGTGATTAAAAACGTGATTGACTTGCCAAATCAAACTCCAAGCAAATAACTATTTGTCCACAAGTGCCTTCAGGCAAGTCCAAACAATGAAATGACCGACTTTACTTTACATTGAGTTATTTTATATTGAACTGTTTATACTGCACGCACTGTATCATTTGTAATTGTGTTTTACGTAAAACGTAGACACCCTTCAATGCTGGTTAAGGAGGTGATAATAATTTCAATATAAATAATTGAAAACATACTTATTTGAGTTTTATTTTATTCAACTGATCCCACAGCTTCGTTCGTTAGATCTAATACCTATTTTGAGAAGTTCATAAAATAGAAAACACTGATGGAACAAAATTTGGCTTGATCCAGTTCTTCAGTAAACAGTACTGAAAAATATGCTTATACAATCTTTAATATAAAGTTTTTAGCAAGATGTGCCAGAATATTTTATGGACGGGTAGGTACAACTGGCTTGTTACGGCCCAAGTATATATAGTTCGCTTTGATACGGCCGCTTTTGTTTTGCGCCTTGGCCTTGGCACGTGCCGAAGCTTGTTGTTCGTTGGGCGAGAGCTTAACATCAGGTATGTGACATAATCACAGTCATCTAGGTCTCCATGAATTACTCGAATTTGCCTTAAATAAAAAGTTACAGAATACAAAGGTGTGAAATCCCCGCGAAACATGCTTCACATGGGCGCCCGTTGTAGCGCTAGTAATAAGCACTCATAGATGCGTGTCTCGTTTATTTCGGACATAGTATTCTTCTCTCGGTATAAAATAAAGTGATTGAGTTCTGTGTTCCCAAGCATCCGTCCCAGGCCTTTACAGGAGTGCTTCTCGCAGGGTGCTAGTCTAATTTGGGTATTTCTTCATTGCATGAAATATGAATATAATTAAAAAAAAACAGTACAAATTATTAAATGTATCATAGAGTTTTTTAGTATAGAATTCATGCTCAACTATTAAGCCGTAACTTAGAAATTTTACAATTTATCTTTAAAAAGAGCCTATTTACTACGATCATTTCACAAAGACGTTATATATACGTTTCCAAAATAATACAATGTCTTTGTGATGATCTAAAAGTATAACATATATTTTTTATGTCATCATC